CACAATACAGAGATGTTGATGACACACACACAACACAGAGATGTTGATGACACACAACACAGAGATGTTGACCACACACACACAACACAGAGATGTTGATGACACACAACACAGAAATGTTGACCACACACACACAATACAGAGATGTTGACCACACACACACAATACAGAGATGTTGACCACACACAACACAGAGATTTTGACCACACACACACAACACAGAGATGTTGACCACACACACAATACAGAGATGTTGACCACACACAATACAGAGGTGTTGGCCACACACACAACACAGAGATGTTGATGACACACAACACAGAGATGTTGACCACACACGACACATAGATGTTGACCACACACACACAACACAGAGATGTTGACCACACACACACAATACAGAGATGTTGACCACACACAACACAGAGATGTTGACCACACACACACAACACATAGATGTTGACCACAAACAACACAGAGATGTTGATCACACACACACAATACAGAGATGTTGATGACACACAACACAGAGATGTTGACCACACACAACACAAAGATGTTGACCACACACACACAATACAGAGATGTTGATGACACACAATACAGAGATGTTGATGACCACACACAACACATATATGTTGACCACACACAATACAGAGATGTTGACCCCACACACACAATACAGAGATGTTGACCACACACAACACAGAGATGTTGACCACACACAACACAGAGATGTTGACCACACACACACAATACAGAGATGTTGATGACACACACACAACACAGAGATGTTGATGACACACAACACAGAGATGTTGACCACACACACACAACACAGAGATGTTGACCACACACACACAACACAGAGATGTTGATGACACACAACACATAAATGTTGACCACACACACACAATACAGAGATGTTGACCACACACACAATACAAAGATGTTGACCACACACAACACAGAGATTTTGACCACACACACATAACACAGAGATGTTGATGACACACAACACAGAGATGTTGACCACACACAACACATAGATGTTGACCACACACACACAACACAGATGTTGACCACACACACACAACACAGAGATGTTGACCACACACAACACAGAGATGTTGACCACACACACACAACACAGAGATGTTGACCACACACACACAATACAGAGATGTTGATGACACACAACACAGAGATGTTGACCACACACAACACAAAGATGTTGACCACACACACACAATACAGAGATGTTGATGACACACAATACAGAGATGTTGACCACACACAACACAGATGTTGACCACACACACACAATACAGAGATGTTGATGACACACAATACAGAGATGTTGACCACACACAACACAAAGATGTTGACCACACACACACAACACAGATGTTGAGCACACACAACACAGAGATGACAGACGAGGACCTACCGGCCTGGACCATATGTACACATCCTTGCTTCTCCAATGTTATCATCCATGTGGTCACAACCCTTGCTACCTGAGCTTCATCCTCTGGGTCAATCCACAATGTTCCGGACACCCTGTCATACACACACACACAACTGTTAATACTTGAAAGGGACACACTGTTCTAATAAGTTTTATTTATCACCAGAGTACTAACATAAGTGTCAGCCTCTGTGGCTTATGCGTTGTAAACGCCTTCTGTAATGCCATGTTTGACCCCAGCTGCGGGCCTTGCCTTGCACTGGTTTTGACAGTGGTATCGAGAAGCTGACTGTCCCAAAAGCAATGGCAAACTACTGGACATAAATTTGCCTAGAAAAACCACAACAGCCAAAAAATGATGGGGTTGGTTCTGCAATGTCATGCAAAGGATACACAACTAACATAACTAACATTAGCACTACAATCAATTCAAAAGCCATTATAGTAATACCCTGCCTCTCCTCCCACACCCCACACCTCACAAACAAAAAATATTTCAACACTACACATGACCACACTACAACACGAACTGGACAGACTTAGTGAGTGGTGCCAGGAATCAAGAGCTCATGTGAACCCGTCCAAAGCCTCCTTAACATGGTTCTCTCTAAATACTCACATCGTCAATACACCAACGCCAGTCGTAAGCATATGTGGTGTGGACATCGAGAGAACGGACACCATGAAATACCTGGGTATGACATTTGACAGATGCTTGTCATACAAATGCCACGTAGACAACGTCATACTTAGAGCCAGAAAAGGTCTGACAGCACTCAAGGTGCTAGCAGCAGCTGATATTGAACAACGCCTACTTTTCCTTCTCTATCAAGGGCTTGTGCTTAGCGTCATTGACTATGGTCTTGGCCTCCTCACTGTCAGCAAAACCCAGCTAGAAAGACTGGACCGAGTACAAAATGAGGCCATGAGACTCATACTCGGCTGCACAAAAGACACCTCCTGCAACGCCATGCGTTATGTCCTGGGTTTGCCGACGATGACTAGTAGATACAAAGTGGCACAAGTCAAGGCTTACATGAGGGTATCGGCAGACGCTAACCACCCATTGCACAAAGCTATATACGATACAAAAGGAACGCGTCTCAAAAGAGGCCGCTCTTGGATGGCAAAGGCTGAGAATTTGATCCAGCAGGTATGTGACCTACGCGTTATCAGGCACGGAAAAGAATGGATGAATACACCAGTAGACATGCATGGCATCTCTAAGGTTGTCATCACACTAGGAAGGTACTGTCGGGATCAGATTCCTGCGGCCATAGACACAAAAGTAAGGGAACTGATAGATCAGCATTCAGACCCAGAAGATATCATCATCTACACAGATGGGTCTGTGAAGCGCGGATCAAGGTCAGCATGGGCATACACAGCGCAAAGAAGGGGGAAAACAATACATGAAGATAGCGGCGCTTACCAGACAACCACGTCAAGCATGACCATGGAAATAGCCGCTGCTTCTAGAGCTTTAGCATGGGTATCCGAGCAAACCGCCACACAAGCAGTAATTGTCTCAGACTCAATGAATATGCTTCAGAAAATAGCAACTGGCAGTATGCGCTCTGAATGGATAGAAAGCATTCGGAAATCGCACTTAACTTCCGTAACCTGGATCTACACACCGGGTCATGCGGGCGTAAAGGGAAATGAGCAAGCGGACCAACTGGCAAGCACAGCACTAATGATTGCGGGAAAAAGCATGGACAGAGCAGATATCGTTAACGCTGTACGTACTGGGCTAGTGGATAATATCGAATCCCTGACACTAACACGATTGCGTGACATGGGAGTTAAGCATGGTGAAGCACGTCTTTGCCGTCTGCGAGGCCGAGAAAGGAGACAATATAACCAGCTTCTCATGGGGACAATTAGTAGAAGTACTTTGGAGTGGCTGCTGCTTCGGAGGACTGCGCACGCATGGGTATGCCCAATGTGCAGTGACGTCGATTGTGATAACAAAACACAAAATAACATTTTGTAGGAAGTCGGCATTCCGAAACCCAAGTTCAAGGTGTCTCCTTCGTGCCAAAGAACTGCATGGCTGTTGGGTGAACAGTCGTTAACGAAGGCAGTCAGGTCGTTGTAGGGGCGACGCCTGCTGGTGGATGTAATGTCCTAAGTCCCTTTCCCAGCTAATAGTGAGGGTACTGCTGGGGTGACCATTTGTTAACCCCTCACATAATGCTTCAAGTCACAGTGGACGCTAGGCACGGCCACTTTTTTTTTTTTTTTTTTTTTTTTTTTTAGCCGTAGCCGTGGCAGTTCTGCCAGGCGGTGGCCGTTGCATTTTTGCTCCATTTGTAGACTGGAAGGATATGGTTTCGTCACCCAGCTTCTGAGTTGAGTGCATGGTGTGACTGTGAGCTACGAGTGTTTTTCGTTGGCACAGGAGCGGAGCAACAATGGGGTGACCCGTTTGCTATGATGCTGAAACTAGGATTACCAGATTACCAGATTTCAACAAACTGGTTGGTTTTTCTGCACTTTTACATTTACCCTAACAATAATATTTCTTCTTATTTTCTCTAGTCTCTGTTCTGCTGTTCAATGCCAGGTTTTGAAGAGGCACAAGCCTCTGTGTGTGTGTGCCAACTAGGTTGACGCTGGTATTCCTGGTCTCAGTTATGCCATCTATCTATCAGGGCCAGCCTATAGCTCTGCTTGCACTGTGTCAAAAGTGACAGAGTTCTGGGGGAATTGGGGAGGGAGGGGGGCAGGGAGGAGCTATCCTGTGGTAGTCTTAATGCATGTCCGAGCCATTTGATCTGTTATATTCTGATTTAGTTCAGCAGCAAATCCATTACACACTTGTTTCCTGACATTGTTGGTTCGGGTCCTGTCAACTCTGGTCACATTTAGGATTTATTGTTTGCACCAGAGGAAAGAATACCACCACAGTCTGATACTAGAACAGAAGGCAAAAAGTTGATCCAAGCTGACAAATTAAAATATCTGGGTACAATTTTAACATCAGACGGAAGATGTGTGTCAGAAATTAGGAGCCCAATATGCCAGGACTAATGCTGTATTTCAGGGAATGAAGAACATCTTGTGCAACAGGTGCCTCTCTTTGGATGTCCAAAATGGGTACTAAAATGTTATGTAGAACCTATATTGCTGTATGGAAGTGAATCATGGAATGTGAATGCATAAATTAGAGAGAATTTGGAGGCAACAGAGATGTGGCTCCCCAGATGAATGTTAAGAATCCCTTAGACTGTTAAAGTAACTAGCAAGGACTGCTAAAAAGAAGCTAATAAAAACAGATCAATATATACAGCTGTTAGGAAAAGCCAAGCACTGTTCTGTGGTCATGTGATGAGGGGAGAGGCTTTGGAGAATGCTGTGATGACTGGGATGATCAATGGTAGAAGAAGGTGAGGCAGACCAAGAGAGATGATGACAGATGGATTGCAACCGTGGCACAGAGGGATACCATCGGTGGCACTGAGCCAGTGGACATGGAAGATACATGAATGCCTACGCCATTCGGCACAGCATTAGATGCTGATGATGATTTTATTCCTGGTGTTTCAATTCTTTTTTTCCCTTCTGTTGCTAATGCCCTGGCAATAAAGTACTTAATCATGGCTGATCTATAGAAACAGACATTCTATTCTATTATAAATATAGCTATGTTTATAAAGAACTCTCTATATTTGTGCAACAAACTCAGTCTTTCCATTCTTTATTCAGATGACCCATCTCGTTTCTGAATCTGCCTACCCATCCAGACATGGTACAGAAATGAACCCTCAAAGTCAGTTTCCCCAAGTTACATACTCCCTGAGTCATATTCGTTTGCTGTTTGCATGCTTCAAGAGGAATCCACACATCAAACTATTTATCAAACTTTCTTTTAGAAGAGAGGATGCAGAACCATAGACATTTATGATCATCGTCTCCATTTAAAAAGTTGGCAACCCTATTTGTGTTGTTTCCACGTACAGATTTCAGTCCATCCCTTCTTCTTCTTCTTTTGTGATCTCACTTTTAGCAGGTTGTAGCCCAGTGTCATGGTTTAGTCATCTTACTGTTAGCAGGTTGTAGCCCAGTGTCGTGGTTTAGTCATCTTACTGTTAGCAGGTTGTAGCCCAGTGTCGTGGTTTTGTCATCTTACTGTTAGCAGGTTGTATCCCAGAGTCGTGGTTTTGTCATCTCACCGTTAGCAGGTTGTAGCCCAGTGTCGTGGTTTAGTCATCTTACTGTTAGCAGGTTGTAGCCCAGTGTCGTGGTTTTGTCATTTTACTGTTAGCAGGTTGTATCCCAGAGTCGTGGTTTTGTCATCTCACCGTTAGCAGGTTGTATCCCAGAGTCGTGGTTTTGTCATCTTACTGTTAGCAGGTTGTAGCCCAGTGTCGTGGTTTTGTCATCTTACTGTTAGCAGGTTGTAGCCCAGTGTCGTGGTTTTGTCATCTTACTGTTAGCAGGTTGTAGCCCAGTGTCGTGGTTTTGTCATCTCACTGTTAGCAGGTTGTAGCCCAGTGTCGTGGTTTTGTCATCTCACTATTAGCAGGTTGTATCCCAGAGTCGTGGTTTTGTCATCTCACCGTTAGCAGGTTGTAGCCCAGTGTCGTGGTTTTGTCATCTCACTGTTAGCAGGTTGTATCCCAGCGTCGTGGTTTTGTCATCTCACTGTTAGCAGGTTGTAGCCCAGTGTTGTGGTTTTTTCATCTTACTGTTAGCAGGTTGTAGCCCAGTGTCGTGGTTTTATAATCTCACTGTTAGCAGGTTGTATCTCAGTGTCGTGGTTTTGTCACCTCACTGTTAGCAGGTTGTATCCCAGCGTCGTGGTTTTGTCATCTCACTGTTAGCAGGTTGTAGCCCAGTGTCGTGGTTTTGTCATCTTACTGTTAGCAGGGTGTAGCCCAGTGTCGTGGTTTTATAATCTCACTGTTAGCAGGTTGTATCCCAGAGTCGTGGTTTTGTCATCTAACCGTTAGCAGGTTGTAGCCCAGTGTCGTGGTTTTGTTATCTAACCGTTAGCAGGGTGTAGCCCAGTGTCGTGGTTTTGTTATCTAACCGATAGCAGGTTGTAGCCCAGAGTCGTGGTTTTGTCATCTAACCGTTAGCAGGGTGTAGCCCAGTTTCGTGGTTTTATAATCTCACTGTTAGCAGGTTGTATCCCAGAGTCGTGGTTTTGTCATCTAACCGTTAGCAGGTTGTAGCCCAGTGTCGTGGTTTTCTGTATTTGTCTTGTATTTCTCAAGAGGCTTGAGTGACGGATCTGTTCATCTTTTTGCAGGTTTCAGCTACATATCTTTCTTGGTCTTCCCTTGCCTTCCTCTCAGATGTTCAGCTGTAAACAGTCTCACACGCTTCCCTTGCACTTCTCCTGAACATACTTAGACAAGCAGAAGTGTCTCTTTACAGGCTTAAAGTGCTAATTTTTTCTTCTTCTCAACATTCACTGGCTGCTAATTCCACACACATCCATGCCATGCAATAAGACCGTCAAGAATCTTCTCTCGTTGTCTTCCTCTATCCCTCCTTCCACAGATCTTTCCAGTGGTCACAACATGTTCCATTTTTCCTCTTCTCATAACGTGGCAGAAAAATGATGACTGTCTCCTGATGTATGTGGTAAGTTGTCTTTGGGCTTCCGCTTCTTTCAAAACTTCTTGGTTGCTCTTTTTTGGCTGTCCAAGGTATTTTAAGCAGTCTTTTGTAAAACCACATCTTTGAGGCCTCAAGAAAATGTTTGGCCTGCCTACCGATTGTCCAGGATTCAAAGCCATATGTTAAAACTGGATGTATGTAGCAAGCAAGATGTCATAATGTACATTTTTATTAACTTCAGATTGTTCATTGTGTTTCTATCTTTGTTTATTGTCTGTCCCTATTTGTTTATGTCTGTATTTGTTTACTTTCTGTCCATGTTAGTTACTCTTTGTCTTTGTTTATTGTATGTATTTGTTTGTTTATGTCTGTCTTTGTTTGTTTACTGCCTGTCTTTGTTTGTTTACTGAATGTCTCTGTTGTTCTGTCCAAAGAAGTTGATCCCCTTGTCTTTACTCACACCTTTACATCTTTCAAGGTGAGAAAGAGTTCAACTGTGCTGAACGGAAGCATGGGACTCATAGCCAAAGGCGAAGGCAAGTGTGACTAGCAAGACCCGTCTGCAATCAGAAATGTCTTCCACATTTAGACCATGGGATCTCTGGTTTATTGCTGTGTGTGCTGAGGACAGTGGTATGACACAAACACTAGCTACTTACAGTGTAGAATGTCCCTCATCGACACAAACACTGGCTACTTACAGTGTAGAATGTCCCTCATCGACACAAACACTGGCTACTTACAGTGTAGAATGTCCCTCATCGACACAAACACTGGCTACTTACAGTGTAGAATGTCCCTCATCGACACAAACACTAGCTACTTACAGTGTAGAATGTCCCTCATAGCAGCTGTCAGGGAAATGGAGGATTTTCTCAATCTTCAGCCTCTCTTCAGCCGTCGTCAGCACGTTGTGTAGTGGAGCTGGGGAGTTGCTCAACACGTAATACAGAGTCTTGTTGATGCGGTCTCCGTTGAGAGCACCAGCTGCTAAGGATGTGCTGATGGAGAATCCACTAAACCACAGCTAGGGGAGAGAAACAGGACAGGGTTATTGTTATTATCTTCCCCTTGAGAGTAAAAACTCTTTTGTGTCTGAGGCATACATTTCTTTCTCTACCAACCAATGCGCCAGGTGTGAATGTTCTTTTTTCCCTCCAGGACTTGAGCTCAAAAGATTGACTCTCAGTGACTCAAAAGATTGACTCTCAGTGACTCAAAAGATTGACTATCAGTGACTCAAAAGATTGACTATCAGTGACTCAAAAGATTGACTCTCAGTGACTCAAAAGATTGACTCTCAGTGACTCAAAAGATTGACTCTCAGTGACTCAAAAGATTGACTCTCAGTGACTCAAAAGATTGACTCGACTCTCAGTGACTCAAAAGATTGACTCTCAGTGACTCAAAAGATCGACTCTCAGTGACTCAAAAGATTGACTCTCAGTGACTCAATAGATTGACTCTCAGTGACTCAAAAGATTGACTCTCAGTGACTCAAAAGATTGACTATCAGTGACTCAAAAGATTGACTATCAGTGACTCAAAAGATTGACTCTCAGTGACTCAAAAGATTGACTCTCAGTGACTCAAAAGATTGACTCTCAGTGACTCAAAAGATTGACTCTCAGTGACTCAAAAGATTGACTCTCAGTGACTCAAAAGATTGACTCTCAGTGACTGAAAAGATTGACTCTCAGTGACTCAAAAGATTGACTCGACTCTCAGTGACTCAAAAGATTGACTCTCAGTGACTCAAAAGATTGACTCTCAGTGACTCAAAAGATTGACTCTCAGTGACTCAAAAGATTGACTCGACTCTCAGTGACTCAAAAGATTGACTCTCAGTGACACTCAAAAGATTGACTCTCAGTGACTGAATGAGCCATTATTTGGATGTAATCAAGCAGTAAAGAAATCTCAGAAAACTTGTTTAATAAAGTTAAACTGGGGCACCGAATGTTACAAGGTATGTGGCTGAGTGTGTGAATTACTGTGTCAATATCTACTTGTCATGTTCCCACGCACCAAGACCTGAGTGACTGGATTTGTTGCTGTCTCCGCAGTGACATGGCCAAGCGTTTGCCTTGCAAACTGGGACCTCTGCTTGTCACTCTGCCTGCATCATATCTGTCTCCATATTCTCAAAATGCTCTGTGAGTCAGTTCAAATCATGACACTTCTTTACAGCTGGTTCTCAAGCCAGTGGAGGTGTTTCCTGTCAAGAGACACAAAACCTAGAACACAACCTTATGAACTTGTTCTATGGAAAGTTAAGCCATTGAAGACATCCAACAAACTGTTTACCTGTCCCCAAACTTTAGTGTGCTCCTGTTTCAACACATTTTCATCAATCTCAATTCCTTTCTCCAACTCCTGCAACACAAAACACTGCCTTGAGTTTTTTTACTATACTAATTAAAATTATTTAAAACAAAAAGCTCCACTCAATCTGCCGAATAAATAAAGACCTAAAATATGACAGAACTCTTCTTTAATAAAACACACACATAAAGCATCTACAGATTATATATTGCAGATTCATACCGATTCATGCAACCATGAATTCTTCTGCAATAAAATACAATTTACTGACTGTCTAAACTTCAGTTCTGTACTAAGACAAGAAAAGACAACTCTAAATGAGAGAAACTGAAACATGACAAAACATAAGATCAATCAAGCTGGCTATTCACACACACACACACAGCTGTGGTTTTTCACGGAAAATTGCAGGAATTATGTTTGTATATTGATATTGATGACAGATGACTCTAACTAACGATGGACCTTACCCTTGTTAAACATGTCAGCATTCTGGTTTCTCCAGCTGACCATTTTCACAACTGTGGTCAGCGGACTGACTGGGCATATGGTGCTGGACCTCAAGGTTAGACCAATCAGCAGTCCATAGGAATGTGGTCAACCTCTCACTGGCCACCTTTACTTCCCACGAAATTAGTAGGGACCATTTTAAATTGGACTGGCTTAATACCCAAGGTCAATTTGTGAGGGAAAAACATTTGCTGATTTGAACCCAAGACCTTCTGGCTGTCTGGCTAGCACCTAGCTGCTATACAAATGTAGCTTTCTTCAGCTCACAATGGAAACATTATCATGCAGCAGGTCCTTTGTAGAACACCGCTCTCATCACAGTCTGCCTGAAAGAAACTTGGTCTCTCACCTGATTTCCCATTTCATGCACTTTCCTATCCAAGGTATCACTTACATCTGTGCCCATCTTCGTGCTGGTCGGACTGTGTGGGTATGTGCGCGTATGTCTGTTTGTGTGTGTGTGTGTCTGCATTTGTTTCTATGGGTGTGTCTGTGTGTTTATATCTGTATGTTTGTATGTGTGTGGAATGTGCGTGTCAGTGTGGGTATGTAGGTATGTATGTGGGTGAATGGGGTGTGTTTATGTGTGTGTGAAGGTATGTGGGTGTGTTTAAGTGAGTGAGTGGGTGGGTGTGTGTGTGTGCATGCATTTTACCACCCATGCTTTTGTGCTTTTTTTCTCTCTCTATTTTGATATTCATAATATGCATATTATCATATAAATATAACATGTCTATTGATAAAATACAGCTGCAGTGTAAAAGACCGGTATTTGGAAGGGCCGAAGGTAAGACGGGCCTGCGTGCCTAATTTGTGACCCTTTGAAAAAAAAGTTTGTTCGTTCGTTCGTGTCTGAATCCACTGAATCCAATCTGAATACACTCAGGTTAATCAGGTGGGCTGACTCAATGATCTCAGGTCAGACCATCAGGTGGGCTGACTCTACGACCTCAGGTCAGCCCACCTGATGGTCTGACTCTACGACCTCAGGTCAGACCATCAGGTGGGCTGACTCTACGATCTCAGGTCATACCATCAGGTGGGCTGACTCAATGATCTCAGGTCAGACCATCAGGTGGGCTGACTCTACGATCTCAGGTCAGACCATCAGGTGGGCTGACTCAATGATCTCAGGTCAGACCATCAGGTGGGCTGACTCTACGACCTCAGGTCAGACCATCAGGTGGGCTGACTCTACGATCTCAGGTCAGACCATCAGGTGGGCTGACTCTACGACCTCAGGTCAGACCATCAGGTGGGCTGACTCTACGATCTCAGGTCAGACCATCAGGTGGGCTGACTGCAATCTCAGGTCAGACCATCAGGTGGGCTCACTCTACGATCTCAGGTCAGACCAACAGGTGGGCTCACTCTACGATCTCAGGTCAGACCATCAGGTGGGCTGACTCTACAATCTCAGGTCAGACCAACAGGTGGGCTCACTCTACGATCTCAGGTCAGACCAACAGGTGGGCTGACTGCAATCTCAGGTCAGACCATCAGGTGGGCTGACTCTACGATCTCAGGTCAGACCATCAGGTGGGTTGACTCTACGACCTCAGGTCAGACCATCAGGTGGGCTGACTCTATGATCTCAGGTCAGACCATCAGGTGGGCTGACTCAATGATCTCAGGTCAGACCATCAGGTGGGCTGACTCTACGATCTCAGGTCAGACCATCAGGTGGGCTGACTCTACGATCTCAGGTCAGACCATCAGGCGGGCTGACTGCAATCTCAGGTCAGACCATCAGGTGGGCTGACTCTACGATCTCAGGTCAGACCATCAGGTGGGCTCACTCTACGATCTCAGGTCAGACCAACAGGTGGGCTGACTGCAATCTCAGGTCAGACCATCAGGTGGGCTGACTGCAATGTCAGGTCAGACCATCAGGTGGGCTGACTCTAAGATCTTACATGTCAGTTAAAAGTCCTCCATGGTTCTACCTAACTTGCTCTGCACACTTTCCTTTTGAGGCAAGGTTGCCTTATGTAACTGACATAAGTCCTTGGGTATTGCTTACCTTACTTGATTGTTGAGTCTTTCCCTTTTATTGCCCTAGTACAAAGAGGTACCTTGGGTGGCTGAGTGGTCTCAAGGTATGGCATCCGCCTTGAGTGCTGGAGGTCCCCGGTTCAGGCCCCAGTGAAGGCTGGGATTTTGTTTTCTGAACTCCTAGTAATTTGACCTGGTCTCTGGGTAGTTAGATTAAACGCCCGTATGTATTCTTTGCCTGTAAAAAAAATCCCTTGGCAGTTGGAAATCAAAAAGAGTAGCTTAACCGTGCTGCCTGAGCAAAACTTTGAGTTGAAAATCTACCCATAGCATTTCAGGATCCTTGCCAGTGCAATGGAGTTTATGCACTGCACTGAGAACCTTCAGACTCAGGCTTGAGTTAGAAGTAGAACGGAGCACTTATGGGTTCCTACTCTTGTGCCATGATGTTGATCCATTACATAAACATTAAGCAGTACCTTACAATCTTGTTTAGACTTTTCTCTTCTACCCTGGGGTGTTTAAATACCTTACAACAAAGAATATTAAATAACACTTGTTCTTGCAAAGTTTAAAGAATTCATACATTTGCATAATTGTCACAAACTGAAGTCAAACAACTTACTCCTTTGGCCTGCTCAATGCAATCAGGCACATACTTATGGGCATCTTGTGATGGGAAAGGTCTACTGTAGTGGACAGCAGTCAAAAAATGAAACCTTTTTGTGCTGCAACAAATCGTCATAAAAAATATACAATTATCAGAACTAATATTTGGCTCATTAAAGATTAAACACTAACAATAATTTTATTAGATTCTAAGTGAGTTATTTAGGTGCTGGTGAGTGCATTCACAGTGAGTAATTTGTTTTTCAAGTATGTGCCAGATTCTCAGTGTCATGTCCATAAATTGATGAAACTTCAGTAAAATAATATATATATATATCTTTTTTCTTTCACAATTTTTCAGAAATTCACATCATTTGCTGAAATTCTGTTATAAAAGTCATTATGTTTACACAAATTCAACTTTCTGAGAATTAGACCTTTCTGTGAAAAGTACCTTTTGTATTCTGGTCCATGCAAAATTCCCCGAAGAAGGAAAAAATCTTACCAAGTCTTGATTTCACCTGCGAAATGATAACTTGTTTAGCTGCCTTGAGTCATTTCATAATGTTTCACAAACAGAAATATTTGGAACAGTTCTAAAGTAATCAGTGTCAAGCTCACAGGGGACCAGGAAAGAGGAGTCCTAAATTAACAGTTACATGTGAGTAGATGTAGGCTATACTCCTAATAATGGTCCAAAATTATCAAGGCCGAAAATATACCTTAACAGGGCCTCAGTCACATGTAAATTGCCAACCTCTTCAGGCAACTACACAGCATACCACTGGAAGTATCTCCTGCACCGCTACGAACGGCACGGAGCGGGGCTAAACTATATGGCTGGGACTCACGAGCAAATAAAATGGCGGAAGCTGCAGGAGATGCAGTAGCTGCTGCTCTTGAGTCCCAGTCAATAATTTAGCCCCGCTCCGCGCCGCGGGAGATACTCTCGGCGGTGACTTTAATCGGCAGAAGCTTTTTTTGCTGTATGCTATGTAGTCGCCGGAAGAGGTCTGCAATTTACGTATGACTGAGGCCCTTTAGGGTATATTTTCGGCCTCGATAATTTGGGACCGTTATTTCGGAGGATAGCCATAGATGTAAGCCAAGAACGAATATACTCACCAGACAATGAAGAGTTCTACCAAAAGGAGACAACTCTAACAAACACAACAGTTTAAGATGCAAGCATGTAACATCATACTCACTATCTACTACCTATAGAAAGTCAAGGACAATGATATCCATCATATTATCTAAGATAGCCATTGGTCTCGACAGATAATGCCGTCACACCTAATTTCAAGGTTTAACCATTGTAATGTTGTGAATTTCCGGGGAAATCCCAGAGAGTTCCCAAATGGGGGGACAAGGTCAGAGGACCAGTGAAACAAGAGAAAAGCGAGATAAGCAGGTCTCGAGTATCCTGTGGTGAGTGAATAGGGATACAAGGAAAGCGTGAGACTTGAACGGAAGGTGTGAACCCAGAGAGGGTAGAAAGTCAGTTGAAGTTTGGACCTGAATGTGTGTGGTCGAATGCAAGAGAACAGCAGAGAAGAATGCAGATCGTCTGACCGTGTGTAGTTGTTTGAGAGCAGAAATGAATGTCTACTGACAGCAAGTTTCGATTGTGTACAGGTACAAGGTAGAATATGTTAGCATGATCCAGATATAGAATCCGAAAGGTAATGGCAGAGAGAATCACAGTGTGAGATAGTTGACAATGTCATCAGGAATCAGCCATGCGTAGCAGCCATGAGAACACAAGTGAGCGCATGGACAGTGCGGTTGTTGGAACAGCGAATAAAGGTCAATAACTGAGTGTTTGTCGTCTGGTGTATTCTTAGTAACTCTGCATACCTAAGAACGTCAGTATAGCAATGTGACAAGTTAAATCAAACCCCTAGCAGAGCCACATTGCAACGATGAAAATACAACTATAAGTAATTTACCTTGCCGCTTCAACTCTGACTTCCTTTGAGGAAACTGTGATGGCTGCTACAGCAACAGCGATCTTGGTGTTAGAGTTTGTAACCGCCACTGTCCCCGAGAACACTTTGTAGGTCACTGTCCCACTAGAACGTGAAGCAAAGCTGCAGGAGCAATAATAATGGTCATACAGTAAGTTATATCATTTTTAGGTACAGGTCGCGATAAGAGACCCAACAATGAGAGTGACCTCCCTTCCCACTGATGCCCTTATCTGGTGTTGTGCTTCTACTATGCCACATAGGATTCAGGCATAGTGAGTCGTATATTACTCCTTGTTCTCAGCGATAGACGATATAGTCCTGGGAAGTAAAGGCGACCGGTGTGATGTTGATCATATCACCCACTGTCTATCGACTGCTCTAAAAAATAAAGGTCTAACCCTATATGCCCAATACACATGAAGGCATGGGAGAAGGTCCTTAACCCCTAAAGACAAGATCCTGATGAACCTTAAGTGAACCAAGGACAGTCAGCTGACTAGTGAGAGATGATGCGGAAGCTGCAGAGATGGGAACATAGTGGATTGATAAAGAGTCATAAGGATGTCTTGAAAGAAATTAACCAATTAAGAAAACTGATTAACCCATATCTTCTTCTTTTTCATGTTCACCAGCTGTAAACTCTGGCGGAAAGTTCTGGTTATTCATCCACTTCTGGACAGCAGTCCTGTTCCAAAACCTGAGTGTTGCATGTGCATCAGTTTTACATATCTCATTTATTTGTATGCAGACTGCTGATCCCTTGCCTCTCAGGCAGATGCACTTTGACTTCGAAGGAAGCTCCCAATTAGTCGACTCTTACGACATGCTTTTGGGTAGGCAGTGGGTCTATTCTTGTTTTCTCTATAATAGGGTCCTGGAACCAACATGGGAACCAATAATATCAAAATGCACTGTGGAAAAAGCAGCTGATTAATGAGCTATTCACACCAACTTTGTGCTATCAGTGCCAGACATGGAAAGTCCTACACAAACACAAAATTACAACATGTGAGACGAGATCTACAAGAAATGTGGCAGGAAAAACCAGAAGAGACAGAGTCACCAATGAAGAACCAAGAATGGTGGGCACAGAACCAGTGAATGATTTCATAGAAAATCAAAGAATCAAATGGTTTGGTCATCTGGACAGAATGGAACAAAGTCAGCCAGTAGCTAGAGCGTAGTACATGAGAACGGCAGGCTACAGGGCAAGAGGCTGACCAAGAAAGAGATGGGTGGAGGCAGTAAAAGAAACACTGCAGAAATTTAATATGAAAGTAACACAAGCAACATAACTAGCAAAATACAGGAAACTATACATAACACCTCCCTGTGATGCTTTGTGACATAAACAGTAGGATAAAAGAAGAAGATTAACCCATATCAGATGGAAACAATCCACATCCTTTAGTCACATCGTTCAGTTGAGTTGAGAATTGACAACACTCGTGGCATTCCCATGCTCCATTCTCATCTTCAGCAGCCAGTGCAGAGTTCCAATGCTGATCGTACCGGTCATAATCTGGTTTGATATGTCCGTCTTGCCTTTCCTTTGTAGTGAGCCGACCAGACCCTCTGGTTACACCCAGGTGCCTCATTCTCTCCAGGCCATAATAATCTTGTTTTTGTACTGATTCCGTTGCTTGTTCCCAAAGGGCACTGACCACATCTGCCTAGTGGTGTCACATGGTGAGAAGGGGAAATCAAGAGTATGTCGAGACAACAGAAAAGCTGCAGGGGAAGAGACGGAGAGGAAGAGGCAGACGGAGAGAGAGAGAAGACATTAGACAGTTTGACATCATGGTATGTCAGAAATGGAAGATCATCTATGTCAGAAAGCTGCGGGCAAATATGACAGATATAACGCCACACAGCATCCGCTGTCAGTAAAAGAAGACTCGTAATGTGCAATAAACAAATGTTTTTTTTAAATTTATCTATTGCAGACATATTTTATTTAACAGAAAAATGCAAGTGAAAAAAACAGTATCCAAAATAAATCTGCAAAAGCAAACAAGACTCTAAATAAATAAATACCTGACTTGCTGAACCAGGACATCATCCCAACCTGATGCTCCTATCTGGTCAAGTTCCACTGTTACTGGACTTGTCTGAAATTGTTTCAGAATACAACTATTTGAACATCAAGTGTGACATAAATCTGGCCCACTATAGTAGAGTTAGTCAAGTAATGGGAGACATGGTGGATTCAGTAGTGGAATAAATGGTGAGACAGTTTGGTAGGATTATAAAAGGAATACATGGTGAGACAGTTTGGTAGGATTATAAAAGGAATACATGGTGAGACAGTTTGGTAGGATTATAAAAGGAATACATGGTGAGACAGTTTGGTAGGATTATAAAAGGAATACATGGTGAGACAGTTTGGTAGGATTATAAAAGGAATACATGGTGAGACAGTTTGGTAGGATTATAAAAGGAATACATGGTGAGACAGTTTGGTAGGATTATAAAAGGAATACATGGTGAGACAGTTTGGTAGGATTATAAAAGGAATACATGGTGAGACAGTTTGGTAGGATTATAAAAGGAGTAAATAAAGAATGAAAATGTTAGAATAAACTGGTGGGATATTTGGTCAGGTAAAAGGATATGGACCAAAGTGGCATAACTGGTGCATTAAATGGTGATAGGAAACGGTGACATAAATCAAATAAAAAAGTATAGGGCATATAGGGCTAGACCAATATTTTTAGACCAGCCGGCACAAGATGGGTGATGTGGTCAGCATCATGCCAGCCGGTCCCACTTTAACCGGTAAAAAAAAGGTCATTTAAAAAAAAAAGTCTGGCTCCGCCAGGTAGCGAACCCATGACCTTCCGATCAAACAAACAATCAGAACTTTCTGCCAGAGCTTACAACTGGTAAACAAACAATCAGGACTTTCTGCTAGAGCTTAGAGCTGGTAAACAAACAATCAGAACTTTCTGCCAGAGCTTAGAGCTGGTAAACAAACAATCAGAACTTTCTGCCAGAGCTTAGAGCTGGTAAACAAACAATCAGAACTTTCTGCTAGAGCTTACAGCTGGTAAACAAACAATCAGGACTTTCTGCTAGAGCTTACAGCCGTGAACAAAACAATCAGGACTTTCTGCTAGAGCTTAGAGCTGGTAAACAAACAATCAGAACTTTCTGCTAGAGCTTAGACCCGGTAAACAAACAATCAGAACTTTCTGCTAGAGCTTAGAGCTGGTAAACAATGCTATCTAAGCTTATCAATCCTCAGTCGTGAACCTGTTTCTACGACGACAGCAAAGAGGTGTAGATACATCGTGACCAGTATTGATGAGCCCTGGTGCTGGTGCACTGCCATGTCTGGTTGATCTCAAACAGTTGACCTAGTTTATTCCTTGCTGGGGGAACTCGTTTCAGGCGGCTGACCTAACTTACCCTAGGATTATGGATTAGGATATCCTGGACTAGCAGGGCTGGGCGAGATCTGTGAGCGTACAGCTGTGTGCTGATAGTGACACATTCTGTGGACTGAACAATTAACACAAGTCATCTTGTGAACTGAACAATCAATTCAAGTCAACCTTTGGACTGAACAGTCAATACAAGTCAACCTGTGGACTGAACAGTCAATACAAGTTAACCTGTGGACTGAACAATCAATACAAGTCAACCTGTGGACTGAACAGTCAATACAAGTCAACCTGTGGACTGAACAGTCAATACAAGTCAACCTGTGGACTGAACAGTCAATACAAGTCAACCTGTTGACTGAACAATCAATACAAGTCAACCTGTGGACTAAACAATTATTACAAGTCAACCTGTTGACTGAACAGTCAATACAAGTCAACTTGTGGACTGAACAATTATTACAAGTCAACCTGTGGACTGAACAGTCAATAGAAGTCAACTTGTGGACTGAACAATCAATTCAAGTCAACCTGTGGACTGAACAGTCAATACAAGTCAACCTGTGGACTGAACAATCAATACAAGTCAACCTGTGGACTGAACAGTCAATACAAGTCAACCTGTGGACTGAACAGTCAATACAAGTCAACCTGTGGACTGAACAGTCAATACAAGTCAACCTGTGGACTGAACAATCAATACAAGTCAACCTGTGGACTAAACAATTATTACAAGTCAACCTGTGGACTCCACAATGAGCCTAAGTCTACCCATGTACTGAATGAACAAGGCAAAATGTGCACTGATTAATAAACCCAAATCAACATGTGCACTGAACAATGAACCCAAGGCAACCTGTGCACTGTTTAATGAACCCAAGTCAACTGATGGACTGAGCAATTATTACAAGCTATTCTCTCGACAGTGTCCGTATACGAGGACATAAGAGTGCATGGGCATTTACAGCTTTCTCTTCAGGCAGAACAGTTCAAGAAGCCAGCGGTGCCTTCTCCATGACTACCAGCAGCATGACGATGGAGGTGATGGCGGTGACACAGGCTTTCATGTGGCTCTGTTCACAGGACTATTCCCGCATGTGTGTGCTGAGGGATTCTTTGAGTATGATCTGGCAGGTCGAGGCAGACTGGTTTCGCAAACAGTGGCTTGAGTCATTGCAAAATTCTCCTGTGTGTGCAGTTACTTTCATATTCGTCCCAGGGCATGCAGGTGTTGTTGGTAATGAGAGAGCTTATAAACTGGCAGGTACTGCATTAATTGAAGATGGCCGGCCCATGGATCAGGCAGACATTGCCATTGCCCTTAGAGAGATAGGACGTTCTGAGGATTTTGGAAGCAACGTGTCCACATCACGTCTAAGAATACGCGAATTGGGAGTAAAGATCAGCACAGCCAAGCATGAGTAGCACACTGGACGCACACAAAGTCTTGTTAACCAACATAGGACTGGTACTATTAACCACATGACACTAATAAATATGTTGAGAGGGGAATCTGAGCGCCTATGGATGTGTCCGAAGTGCTGTGAAGATAATCTAACTCATAACTCGACTCAGTGACCAACAAAGGTTAACCTTTGGGCTGTGCAATGAATACATGTCAATATGTGGGCTAACTGACAAACATAAGTCAATAATGGTGGTCGTAATATAGTTACTTTATTACTTACTTTGTCGCTCCTTTTCTAGCCTGGGGTGTAGAGGTTTGCCAGAGAGATCGCCAGACGTCTCTATCAGCAGTTTTCTTTCTGACTTTGTTCCCTTCCTGTCATCTGTTAGTCAGGGACAGTCGGATGTTGTCTTCTCAGCGGACCCCTGGGTCACCCTGGAGGTCTGGTTCCCTGGTTTTTAGCCTGCCATGGTGACCGATTTTCTCCCCTTCTGTATACATGCTCAAACCATCGCAACTGTGACTGATTCACTCTGGTCTGTAAGGCCTGGGTTTCAAGATCCTGATGTTTCATCTGATTGCAAAGTTTGTCCCTTCTTGTCACTTGGACAACCTTTCTCAGATATCTCATTTCTGAGGCCTGAAGACAATTTCTGTGAGCTGTTGTCATTGCCCATGACTCACACCTGTAGGCCAGGACTGGTACATAAGTAGAGAGGTAAACAGCCGCAGCTGCTTTTCTTGTAGCCAGCTTTGTGTTAATGCCGCCATTTCTGTTTATTACAACTCCAGGGTATTTGAACTGGTTGACCTGCTCAAATGCATACTGTCCCATCATGAACTGGTGTTTCTTCTCCTCTCTTGAGATCACTGGAATGAACCTTTGTTAGGCCGACATCACTCGACATGTACCTTGTCTTACGACATATCTGCTTTCGCCATGGCTCACTCTCTGGATGATTAATTCACACTGCTCTCATGTCTAGGATTAATAACACAACGCTGCTCAGCTTCCTTGTGCATGCTGTCAGTTTATTCTGTTACATTTATTCAACATGCTCCAACAATTATTCACACTTCCATCGCTTGCGACATATTCAAATACTAGTCATTTGCGCGACATAAAGACTACATCTTCTGATAACACAACCGTCTTCTACGACTTCTGGTAACCAACTGACCACGAGGCTAGCTCAGGCTTTCCCTCGCTTACTCCACCACAAGTATCTCGTGCCGTCACTTGTAGCACGGACTTTCTGCTTGCCACAATGTACTCGTGGAGACCATGCAAAGCAGGGTCATCACAATCACCATGGTTTTAGTTTTGGAGATACTGATGGTTATCCCATGCTTCTCAAACTCTTCCTTCCAGAGAAGTAAGTTGCACTGAAGATGTGCCTCTGATTTTGTAATAGTAGTTGTGGTGGTTATAACAGAGGTAGCAGTGGTGGTAGTAGTAGTGATAGTAATAGTAGTGGTGATAACTGTAGTATTGGTGGTAAAAGTAGCTGTGGTGCAGGTAGTAGTGTTGGTGTAACAGCAGTAGTGGTGGTGGTAATAGAGACAGTGGTGGTAGTAGTGGTGGTGCTGATAGTAGTGGTGGTGACAAGCGTGAGGTGGTAATGGTGAGGGCAGTAAACATCAGGTTAAACCATTTTTCTCTGCAGGACATAACAAGACTGAATGAAGGCATCACATTTAGTGCTGTCTTCTCTGCAAGACATAGCAAGACTGAATGACGGCATCACATTTAGTGCTGTCCTCTCTGTAATTTCAGCTAATGCTAACATATTCTTCTTCTTTCATCGTCTCACTGATACCAGGTTGTAGCCTAGTGTCGTGGTTTTGTCATCTCACTGATACCAGGTTGTAGCCTAGTGTCGTGGTTTTGTCGTCTCACTGATACCAGGTTGTAGCCCAGTGTCCTGGTTTTGTCGTCTCACTGATACTAGATTGTAGCCCAGTGTCGTGGTTTTGTCGTCTCACTGATACCAGGTTGTAGCCCAGTGTCGTGGTTTTCTGTATCTTCTTCTTTGCGTTCACCAGCTGTAAACATTAGTGGTGTAGTGAGTCATTTTCTCCCCATTGGGTTATGCCCGATAGATGACGTCAGTAATAAATGTAAGGCGAATGTTTTGACTGACTGAGATAACACGAGATTTATGTCTTGAGTTTCATGAGAGACATCTGAAAGTCAGGTTTTATGTGAAACATGATTGTTCACGTGAACCATGAAGGTTGACTGGCAGGATTCGTGTGAAATGCGAATTATCACGGGCCAGACACGACTTTCAACGGTGGGGAATTCGTGAGAATGAAATTATCCAGAATATTCAAGAACATGACAGATCAGAGGGCTATATAATAGCGAAGAAAGGTTCGTGAGGCAGTCTCGTTTAGGCCAAGGGAAGGTGTATGTGTTCGGAAGAATGTTGACGTCTGAATAGCGTGATTTCCCAATGCCTACCTGGCATAAAATAGTGGCTGACGGAAACGGTGGCCAGCTGTGAATGACTGTCGTCTGGATGGAGGGAGCTACTGTGTTTCGCTAAGTTGTGTGAATTCTACGATGTTACAAAGGTATGATTGACTGTTTAGAGCATTGATGAGTGATATTGTCGTGTATAAACATTTACTGACTGCAACATCAGCGAGTGAAAATAAACAGTACGTGTAACTTCTGAACGTCTGCCAGCGTCCATGTTTTCTCGTTCTTGTCAGTTGGTGAATGGAAAGATGCGGTGACTCATTCGAGCCAGCAATTAATAACAATGAAGATCACTGCAAGTGGAAAGTTCTTGTTGTTTATCTACTTTCTGGACTGCAGTCCTGTTCCAGAACCTGAGTGTTGCGTGTGCATTCATTTTACAGATCTGACTCATTTTCCTTGCCTCAGGCAGATGCACTCCGACTTCGAAGGAACCTCCCAACCAGTGGAATTTTATGACATGCTTTTGGGCAGGCTATTCTTATTTTCCCTATAATAGAGCCCCGGAACCCACACAGGAAGTTTTCTGAATTTGTCTTGTGCTTCTGAGGTGGCTTGGGTGGTGGATTTTTTCATCTTTTTACAGGTTTCAGCTACACCACATATTCATCTCTTTCTTGGTCTTCCCCTCACCTTCCTCCCAGATGTTCTGCTGTAAAAAGTCTCATTTGCAGTTTGGTCTGGCTGCATTCTCACTAGATAGCCAAATCACTGAATGCTGTGTCTGTCAGTATAATCCAGACATGGTCTTATTCCAGCTTTCTCTCTTATGCTGGTATTTGTAACCGTGTCCCTTCTTGTGGAGACATCAAAGTTCAAATATGATAATCTTAAAATCTTCTTCTACACTGGGGTGCAAAAATTAATATTATAACCAGCAAATTTAAAAGAAAACTGTATTTCGATTTGCCAAACTGGCAATTACAGACATGAACTTACTGTGCCCTTGACCTGTATTTTATGTGCCAAACCAGACCTAACATCAAGGACACTGGCCTCTGGAACAAAACAAACACATTGGATCATTAAATTATCTATCTTTATATCATCTGTGTGTTTATATCTATCTGTATGTTTAAATCTATATGTATGTTTATATCTATCTGTATGCTTATATCTGTATGTTTATATCTATCTGTATGTTTATATCTGTGTGTTTATATCTGTATGTTTATATCTATCTGTATGATTATATCCATCTGTATGTTTATATCTGTATGTTTATATCTATCTGTATGTTTATATCAGTGTGTTTATATCTATCTGTATGTTTATATCTATCTGTATGCTTATATCTATCTTTATGTTTATATCTATCTGTGTTTTTATCTATCTGTATGTTTATATCTATCTGTGTTTTTATCTATCTGTACGTTTATATCTATCTGAACGTTTATATCTATCTGTATGTTTATATCTATCTGTATGTTTATATCTATCTGTATGTTTATATCTATCTGTATGTTAATATCTATCTGTATGTTTATATCTATCTGTATGTTAATATCTATCTGTATGTTAATATATATCTGTATGTTTATATCTATCTGTATGTTTATATCTATCTGTATGTTTATATCTATCTGTATGTTTATATCTATCTATATGTTTACATCTATCTGTATGTTTATATCTATCTGTATGTTTATATCTAACTGCATGTTTATATCTGCATGTTTATATCTATCTGTATGTTTATATATGTATGTTTATATCTATCTGTATGTTAATATCTATCTGTATGTTTATATCTATCTGTATGTTTATATCTATCTGTATGTTTATATCTATCTGTATGTTTATATCTATCTGTATGTTTATATCAATCTGTATGTTTATATCCATCTGTATGTTTACATCTATCTGTATGTTTACATCTATTTGTATGTTTATATCTATTTGTATGTTTATATCTATCTGTATGTTTATATCTATCTGTATGTTTATATCTGCATGTTTATACCTGTGTGTGAGAAGCTACTGTCAGTATGTTTAAAATAAACCTCATTTTATGTGAAAAGCTACTGTCTGTGCATCAAATAACACACTGAAAGTGTGTGTGAAGATAAAGTGAGATAATAAAACCTACACATATGAAAAGATGGAGTGAGATAAAACCTACACATATGTAAAGATGGAGTGAGATAAAACCTACACATATGTAAAGATGGAGTGAGATAAAACCTACACATATGTAAAGATGGAGTGATGTAAAAGCTACACATATGTAAAGATGGAGTGAGGTAAAACCTACACATATGTAAAGATGGAGTGATGTAAAAGCTACACATTTGTGAAGATGGAGTGAGGTAAAACCTATTTGTATATGAAGATGGAGTGAGGTAAAACCTACATGAAAGTGAAGATGGGGTGAGGTGAAACCTACATGAAAGTGAAGATGGAGTGAGGTGAAACCTACATGTATGTGAAGATGGAGTGAGGTGAAACCTACATGTATGTGAAGATTGAGTGAGGTGAAACCTACATGTATGTGAAGAGGGAGTGAGGTAAAACCTACACATATGTGAAGATGGAGTGAGATAAAACCTACATGAAAGTGAAGATGGAGTGAGGTAAAATGAAATTCATATGTCTGAAGAGCCACTAACTGCTGGCATCATGACGACTAACAGACTGAATGCTTGCGGTATACACAGGGAGAGAGAGAGAGAGAGAGAGAGAGAGAGAGAGAGAGAGAGAGAGAGAGAGAGAGAGAGACAGAGAGACAGAGAGAGAGACAGATAGACAGACAGACAACCCAGGGACAACAACTGCATACACAAAAGAGTTAAACTGGAGTAGACTGTCAGGCAGACAAAGAAAATAGTGGAGAGATATGCAGACTTAAAAACACTCAGTCACCACAAGGAAAGAGAAGGCCAATCACATAAATAAATGGAGGCATATATCTCGAGGGCCTGGAATAGAGAAGGATGAGAAGAAGAAGAAGAAGAAGAAGAAGAAGAAGAAGAAGAAGAAGAGGAAGAAAAAGCAGCAGGAGCAGCAGGAGGAGGAGGGGGAGAAATAGAAGAAGAAGAAGAGGATTTCAGCTTTCTAAAAGATACTATATCATCTCCTGGAAAAGCTATGAGGAAGACAATGATCACCCTGGTTCCTCAGGCCGTGACCCAGTAAGTGTGAAATGTAACAGGATTGGCATATTTCTCCTTGTTTCGTGTTCACCGGCTAAAAGCTCCAGTGTAAAGCCTGCTTGTTTGTCCATTGGGACTTTGGCTTTGTCCTGGGGCCTGAGTTTTGCATGTATATCCATTTTACTGGCTTATTTGTGTGCAGTTGGTTGTTCTTTGTCACTCAGGCGGATAAACTATGACTTCCAACGAAGCTACCAATTATTAGACTCTCACGACATGCTTTTTTTTTTAGGTAGGCAGTGGGTCTGCCTCGTTCTTCCCCACAACTGGGCCCCAGAACTCACAAGGGGTGATCAGCATATGATAGACAGAATGCATAACATGAATTTAATGACGGTGAACAGATTACCTTTGACCCTGCCAGGTAAGTGTGTCTGTATGACAGGCCAATACTTAAGAGGTTGCGACAAGGCTCGGTAAATGCGGATATACAGTCCATTGTCGGAACCCAGAGCTGCCGCTATATTACCATTCCCTGGATTAAGACAATTTGGAAAACATAATAAGGTAAGCACTCAAACACACATGTAAACAAATTTCTACATAAAAAGACATATTGTGTGAGTGTGTGTGTGTATACACACACACACACACATATATATATATATATATATATATATATACACACACACACACATATGCACAGAAATACACACACATATATGTATGCATATACTTATATATGCATGATATATGTACACAGACACGTTACTCATATATACATTCACACATGCCACAATCAAACAAAAACAGTTTTTCATACATCTTGTACATATTTTATTTCTGGAAATACACATACAGAAAGTACTTGTTCATATGAATACATACATATAGCATACACCAACACAGTGTAAATTCCATTAGATATAGTTCAAACACCAACATATGACAACTCACCGACGTACGCCAGCTGTTTACTTGTTTGAGTATCCTCAGAGTCGGCAGAAATAAACGTGTCAAGGTTGCCGACCCTGGCCTGGAACTCTAGCAAATTCTGTGCCAGGCACTCTTCTGCAGGATCTGTTGGAGATAAGAAAACATGTATATGTACATATATTTACTTAGACACTTCTCTGAAGACTTCAACCACTTTACACAAATGCAACCACACACACCAGTCTGTGTGCCCCCCCCCCCTCCCCCACCACATATACACTCTCACACACCTGTCACAAAACTACATATACCTAACATGCACCCATACACACCTGACATACACCCACACACACATGACATACACCACCACACACATTTCATACACCCACACACACATTACATACACTCACACACACACCTGACATTACACACACGCAACCTGACAAACACCAACACACATCTGACATTCAAACACACACACTTGACCTACACCCACACAAATGACACATACACCCTGATATACACCCCACACATCTGCCATTCATCCGTACACTCTTGACATACACCTACACACACACACCCGACATACATACACAGACACCTGACATATACCCATACACACATAACACACGACCGATATACATACACAGACATCAGACATATACCCATCACACATACATCCACACACACCTGACATACACACACACACCCTGATATACGCCCACACGCATGACATAGACCCACACATACATCCACACACACCTGACATTACACCCACATGCACCTGACACACACTCTGACATACACTCACACACCTGAGCTACGCCCACAACACACAACTCACACACACCCTGATATACACGCACACACCTGACATACACATCTAACACACATAAGTGCAATGGCTGAATGGGCTGATAAATGGTGTGTCAGCATCAACATCGGTAAATGCAGCACCACCCTCTTTACCCTCTCTCCAAAACAAAAATCAGGCGTCATGCACATAAATGGAGTACCCCTGAGAGAGGATAAGGAGCCTACATACCTCGGAGTAACGTCTGATGATAGGTTAACATGGAGAAAACACATCAACAAGGCAGCAACCAAAGCCAGAAGGAGGGTAGCCATTCTGAGAAAACTAAGTGGAACCACATGGGGTGCTAGCGGGAAAATACTTAGGAAAATTTACCAACAGAGTGTTCGACCACATCTTGAATACGGATCAACAGCATGGAGTTTGGCATCAAAAACCACATTGCAAGAATTAGACAAAGTGCAAAATCAAGCACTCAGAGTTACCACAGGCAGTATGAAATCAACACCTATAGCTGTGATGGAGAAAATGGGGATAACCCAAGCACTGAGTGAATGCAGAGACACCAAGATGCTTTTACAAGCAGAAAAGTTTCTTAGTATGCCCAGTCACCCTATGAATGAACGATTCTAAAATCTAGCTTTGGGACGACCAAGGAGAAGTAGTTTTATCCACAAGGCCAAACGGCTCTGCAGATAAACCACTGATTTGCCTGCAACGGATAGATCCTTAAAACTGACCCAGAACGGACCCCCTGGAGAGAGGAGTATAAGTTTCTAATACACATTAAGACAGAAGTGAAAAGAGTATTTGACAAGGAAGAACAAAACAGTGTGCAGCGCAAAACAGCCACTCTGAGTCTACTTGATGATGAATACCCGCAGAATCTTTGGGTCCGTGTTTACACAGATGGGTCCGCAGAAAGTGCAGTCAGAAACGGAGGTGCAGGAGTGTACATTGAGTATCCTAATAATACCAGGGATACAGCTAAATTACCAACAGAAAAGCACAGTCACAACTATGATGCAGAAGTTCAAGCCATCAAGATAGCGGTAGAGAAACTACCAAATACAGGGTATTTTTCACAACCGGTGGTTTTTCTGACAGATGCAAAAGCGGTACTTCAGGCACTCCAGTCTGGAAAATTACCAAGCATACGGACACTATTATCCGAACTAGGCAACCGTTGTAAATTAGTAATGCAGTGGATACCGTCCCACTGTGGAGTTCCCGGAAACGAAAGAGCTGATAAACTAGCTAAGGAAGGTGCAACTGAAGAACAACCCGACATACCAGTCTCTTATCAACAGAAGAAGAGAATGATCAAATCAATCAGAATGCCAACGAAACTGGCACAAGACGATTACCATATTATGGACAGACCAGAGCAAGTCATTATTCTTCACCTTAGAACAGGGCACAATCGACTTCGCTGCCACATCTACAACAAATTTGAGATTGGCCAATCAGCCATGTGTACCTGTGGTCTGGCACCTGAGACAACAGATTACATCCTCCAAGACTGTCCCAGATTCAACGCTTCCAGGCAAAACATCTGTCCAAAAGAGACACTTATGGAAGTCAAACTTTACGGGCCGCTTAGTGAATTACAAAAGACAGTGAAATTCATACTAGAGACAGCATTGCAGATATAGATAATATATTTCATGCAAACGAAAGAAGAAGAAAAACATCTGACACACACCCACACACATGACATACTAACACACCTGATATACACCTGACATACAACTGAGATACACCCACACACACCTGTCTGTATGCTGCTCGAACTCCTCATTCGAAAAATGTAAGGCCCCAAGAAGTAGAGTAAACCCAGGCCCAAAAGGGCAATCAGAATAATCTTCCTTGATCTGTAAATACAAGAACATAATAATGCATATCAATTATCTCCCTTGATCTGTAAATACAAGAACATAATAATAATAAAGCATGTCAATTGTCTCCCTTGATCTGTAAATATAAGAACATATTTAAGCAAGTCAATTATCTCCCTTGATCTGTAAATACAAGAACATAATAAAGCATGTCAATTATCTCCCTTGATCTGTAAATACAAGAACATAATAAAGCATGTCAATTATCTCCCTTGATCTGTAAATACAAGAACATAATAAAGCAAGTCAATTATCTCCCTTGATCTGTAAATACAAGAACATATTAAAGCAAGTCAATTATCTCCCTTGACCAGTGCACACAACATCCATGCAACTTATTTCCCCCCATCTGTCAAAATTATCTGCAGACTTATCTGTAAAACATTAGCATTTTCATGAATTTCTAAGATATTTCGAAGGTCTAGCTGGATGTGTGTAGATGTCAATATATCCTCTCTGTAAGATTGTATAATTAATATTGAAGTGAGCATAATCTTCTCTTTATAAGATTGCATAATTAAGATTGAAGTGAGCATAATCTTCTCTTTATAAGATTGTATAATTAAGATTGAAGTGAGCATAATCTTCTCTTTATTAGATTGTATAATTAAGATTGAAGTGAACATAATCTTCTCTTTATAAGATTGTATAATTAAGATTGAAGTGAACATAATCTTCTCTTTATAAGATTGTATAATTAAGATTGAAGTGAGCATAATCTTCTCTTTATAAGATTGTATAATTTAGCTATAACAGCTCAATCTCCTTCTATAAGATTGTACAATTATGATTGTAGCCATCATATTGTCTTCTGTATAAAACTGTAAAATTATAATTGTAGCCAGCAAACACTGTACACAAGACTGTAAAGTTTACATGTGATCAACTCATATCTCCTCTCTGTAAGACTATAATTAATTATAATTAAGAATTAATCTTAATGTAATCAATCAATAAGTCACCACATACCTCATCATCTCATCGAAGAGATTGTACAATTTCTAGTTACATTTGTATGATTGTTATTTGTATTCTCTACTGCACAGGCATTCTAGCACTCACTGCTAGTGTGTGTCACCCTCTGTACGATGAGAAATAAACAATTAATCATTACAGAATGTCCAATAAGTCGGGTGTTTAGTGCAGTCAGTTGTGATCTGAGGGCAGAGGTTAACGACCTACCTGCTCATGGAATTAAACGAACTGGCTCCATTCTGGATAGCCGTCTGCAAGCCCATCTCGCGTTTACTGAACTGGAGTGTCAATCTGTATACGAGATGCCTGCACATGTAAGTTAAGCCATACCTCATTTCCCTGCCAGAAAGACGAACATCATGCAACTAGAAGGACGGTTCCGCTATCTATTGTGTTTGTGTATACAATGTATACATGTCACCGGAAGTCCGACATGACAACAAACTTGACAGTGACCTCCCTTGTCACTTGTTCGGTACCAGTTCTTGGTCACGGCGTGTCAGGTACTCCATCTACTCTAGTGTGTCAATATCATCTTCTTCTTTCATCACTCTTTCGCCTTCATCTTGTGTAGGGTTCAAATTCCATTGGCCCCCTGAGTGCAGGAACTGCCCAGCGGTTGCTGCAGAATAAGAAGTGCAACAACCAATTCATGACAATTCCCGCTAACTTCCGATATACAATACATATGTCGGCTATCCTCCTAATAACGGTCCCGAATAATCGAGGCCGAAAATATACCCTAACAGTTACTCCCTCGCAGCTACTAGATGACTGGGACTCACGAGCAAATATAATGGAGGAAGCTGCAGGAGATGTGAAAGCTGCTGCTGGTAAGTCCCAGCCATCTAGTTTAGCCCCGCTCGGCACCATGTGTAGCGGCGCGGGGAAAACTCTCGGCGGTGACTTCAACTCGGTGGAAGCTTTTCCGCGGTATGTTGTGTAGTCGCCGGAAGAGGTCCGCAATTTACATGTGACTGAGGCCATGTTAAAGTATATTTTTGGCCTCGGTAGTTTGGAACCGTTTTTCGGAGACAAAGTTCATAGGGTCTCTTAACAAAAGCGCGTGGGCGCTAAGTATAACAAAGAATGGAGGTGGAGGCAGTCACTGCAGCTTTCTGCTGACTTGAGAGCCAGCTGTGCACACATGTCGTAGATGTAATACTCACAGAGCATGCCGAGAAAGGTGAAGACCGGTATGACTCATGCAGAGGTACCCACAGACTGGAGTGGTACTGTGCAGTGTGACCTAAAGTGGCACTGTGTGTGACCTGAAGTGGCACTGTGTAAGTGTCACCTGAAGTAGCACTGTGTGTGACCTAAAGTGGTACTGTATAAGTGTGATCTGAAATGGCACTGTGTGTGACCTGAAGTGGCACTGTTTATGACCAGAAGTGGCACTGTGTAAGTGTGACCTACAGTGGCACTCTGCAGTGTGACCTGAAGTGGCACTGTGTAAGTGTGACCTGAAGTGGCACTGTGTAAGTGTGACCTGAAGTGGCACTGTGTAAGTGTGACCTGAAGTGGCACTGTGTAAGTGTGATCTGAAGTGGCACTGTGTAAGTGTGACCTGAAGTGGCACTGTGTAAGTGTGACCTAAAGTTGCACTATGTAAGCGTGACCTGAAGTGGCACTGTGTAAGTGTGAACTGCAGTGGCACTGTGTAAATGTGACCTGAAGTGGCACTGTGTGTGACTTGAAGTGGCACTGTGTAAATGTGACCTGAAGTGACACTGTGTAAGTGTGACCTGAAGTGGCACTATGTAAGTGTGACCTGAAGTGGCACTGTATAAGTGTGACCTGAAGTGGCACTGTGTAAGTGTGACCTGAAGTGGAACTGTGTAAATGTGACCTGAAGTGGCTTTGTGTGTGACCTGAAATGGCACTGTTTAAATGTGACCTGAAGTGGCACTGTGTAAGTGTGACCTGAAGTGGCATTGTGTGTGACCTGAAGTGGCACTGTTTAAATTTGACCTGAAGCGGCACTGTGTAAGTGTGACCTGAAGTGGCATAGTGTGTGACCTGAAGTGGCACTGTGTAAGTGTGACCTGAAGAGGCACTGTGTAAGTGTGACCTGAAGTGTCACTGTGTAAGTGTGACCTCAAGTAGCACTGTGTGTGACCTCAAGTGGCACTGTGTGCATTGACAACAGGTTCCATCAGTAAAGCAACTTGCTGGCAGTTGAGGAGGGAGACAAAGAGCTAACACGGACTTGTCTTGAATGCTGTGATGTCGATTCTGTACCCGGATGACCCACCGTGTACCTGTGCCCTGAAATAGCACCATGTACATGTAGCAAAAACTCGTACTGTGTACATGCAACAAGCGGCGAGCGTTATGCTGACCACAACACCAACCGAGTGGTGACTGGTCTATTAAATATAGTTCTAGCCCTTTATGCCTAATACGCCTGAAGGCGCGGAAAAGAGTTATTTACTGTCCTTTCCTTTTTTTTAAAACATGTGATAAGAAATTGCACAGTGTGCTTGTGATATTTGCAGCAATAATCTCAAGGGCTTGGAATGCTGAAGAAGCAGCAGCAAAAGTAGAAAAAGGATAAGAAGAAGAAGAAATTTAGGATCCGTAAGCTTGAAGAACACTTGGTTAATGTGAATATTTTCTTTTAACACAGACTCAATTTCCCTTCTTTGGAATTCATGTATACGAGAGATTACGTTGCATTGGTAGAATGGATACTCCATATTTGTGTGTGGATGTGAGGAAGGTAGAGAACTGCTGCTGTGATTTTGTTTAGAAGAATGTTAGCACCCATTTTTTTTTACTCTCAACTGTCTTCTGAAATAAATAAAAGACCATTGAGGTGTTTCCATGGTTGTCTCCAAAAAAGAAGACTATCTCACTGTAGGCTGTTGGAGCCTTGAGGAATTCATTTGTGGTGCTATTATCTTCTGCTTGTCGAACTGTGTCATTATGCCTTTCCTGAGGTTTTTGACTGTGACAGGATTAACTGGGAGCATGTGGAGGCAGTCGCATGAAACCCAGGTCACAATGTTCCAGCATGTATCATGTCGGTGAAAGATTGTGGACTTTAAATGCTTACCATATCAAAGAGTCAGCAGAGGAAACTTGAATACATACAGAATGAAGCCATGCGTGTAATTCTGAAATGTACAAGAGTTACTCCGGTAGTATGTATGCGGTATATGCTTGCACTGCCTACTATTGCAGACAGACTCAATGTTCTGCAAGAAAAGTCATATCTAAGAGTAGCTACAGACAAGAAAAACCTGCTGCGTGAAGCCCTGGGTAGAGCTAAGGGTCACAGACTGAAAAGAGGAAAGTCTTGGATGGCGCAAGCTGAAAACACAATTGGACTTGCGTGCAAGCCTGATAAATTTATAAGAGGTGAGGAGTTGGTCAAAAGTGTCTGAGCAAGTTTCAGACTTGGGTTCAGACTTGTGCAGGGTTCTTATCACTTTCAGTCGTGAATTCAGGGACTGGCTTTCTGGTGCTGCAGAATTTAAGTTCAATAAATGATTCATGACAATTACCGTCCATGTGATGTGATTACCTATACAGATGTCTCTGTGTTGAGGGGCAGACAAAGCCTACCATATATCATGTCTAGTTTGAGAATGGGGGTGGAGGCAGTCACTGCTGCATTCCGCTGGCTTGAGATTCAGCTATATACACATGCCATGATTGTAACTGACTGTCGCGTGCGAATGTGCACCAGAACGCACCAGTACGGAGTGAGCAAATAAGACGTCAAAACAATACGTAACGTTGCGAAGGATTGTTGTCAAAGGCAGTCGATGTTTATAGTCCGAAGGAGACGGACGTGTGGATCCTTGAGGACGTTTTACCCCGGGATCCCACGGAAGCAAACGTTATATGAAGTTGGATCCTTGAGGACGTTTTACGTTTTTGGTGATTCCAAGATAGACCTCAGTAGGAAGCTGGTGAACACTACATTCTCGGCAGTAAGCCGGTATACTTTCATTGCTTAATTCGGACTTGCCCGAGGACAAAGATAATCGTCTGGATCTCAAGGTCGGACTGCGACCTATCGTGAGGACATATCAATACATGGATGTACGAGTGAGCTTTGGTTGAACGAGTTGATTATTGATTGCATACGTATTCTTGTGTTGATCATTGCATTTGTCAATACACAAATGGAACTTTTAAAGAGAGTTCTCGTTCCGCTACGTTGGAAGCTTCAGCATTCATTATGTTGTGTTACTCTTGGCCAGTGGCATGTTAAGTGTTGATGCCAGTTGTTACATTACGACACCCCCTAGACACTTTTACACTCGTTACAATGAAGGACCGCACGTTACACTGACCCACAGAGCATATTGAGAAAGATGGAGACAGGTATGCTCCGAGCAGAGGGGTAAACATCATTTCAGAGGTTCCGGGTAGTTAGCATCCTTTGGATATTCTCTCCAGGTGATGCCAGTGTTTTGAGAAATAGCATAGACTGGCCAGTTCTGCTCCACTTGGTGGTGAATTGATGTATGACAAGCTGGATGTTGTGAGGACCCTTTGGTAGTGAGTGAACAGTGCTGAATCGCAAATAGAACCATCATGGTCTGAAAAGAATGGCGCTGCGAGGATTTGCCAGGGGATCTGGCCGACGCTCAACACTCAAGGGAAAGTCGAGACAGATATACAGTCAAACAGTTACTGGTGCCATCGGGGACTGAGCCTCGAGAGGCAGGGAGTAAGAAGTGTTGGTGTTGTGAGCAGTGGTCCCCCCCCCCCCCCCCTTTATTTCACCCTAGGTCTAGTGAATATCTATTCACGAAAGGAGCGTCCACTGCAGTGTCAGCCTCTTAACCTAGCATAACCTCTCTTACCCCAAGACCATTGTGCGTGGCGAAGAGCCACACCCTCCCCGAGGTAGTCCTGGTAATCCCCAGGCACAACACACTGGTCGTAGAGGAGCAAACCTCGATAATAAACCTGGTGCACCACAACGTACTGCCCCTGTGGGAGGGAATGAGCAGGGGGGGGGGGGCGTGCTGAACATTCTTAGGAGTGAAAACAAGTATGCTAAACGCCTGAATACAATAAACTATCGTGAAGGCACAGGGACTCAGGACGTGTTGCCCCAACTACTCATGCTTAGAGCCATGAAGAGCTCAGCGAAACCTGCAGGCAATCTGGTGGCGGGGAGTGAGCCCCACCTCAGCTACGCGTCAAAGGAGAAGGCAGAAACACAATCCATATATCCATAAGAACTGACACAGCGCACTGTCTGCTGTCCAGGGAAGGAGGTAATCCACAGACACCCCAGTACCACAATGCCATAAACATGGTGCCATCAGTTCTGGAACTCTTTGTTTGCTGCTGAAGATGGGGACGGAGTGCTATGATGTTAATTCTTAATTCAACATTCTTGGACTGAGTTCAGAGTCTTTTCTTTGCAGACAAAGTTATGCTCTCCGTATAACTGAACCCCATACTCCACTGTAGACCATGTGATCCTTCTCCCCATGTTAGATAGTGTGATAATGTATAAATCTGTCACCTTACAATACACAGTGAATGTGTCACCCTTGATCCCATATTTGTGCGTTAATATTTTTTCCCTATAGTTAAAACAGTCTATGTGAATGCTGGCACCCATCACCTACCAGACCAGTGGTCTCTAACCAATCTCATCACCCCCCCCCCCCCCCCCCCCCCCCCCCCCCCCCCATAAAAAATTAAAAAGGACAAATAGAAAAATCCAAAGTACTGTTAATAGAGATGTAGAGAACAACACACATCATAATTCAAAGAGTAAAAAAAAAAAAAAATCACTAACTAGGGTCCAAATGTCAATGTGATGGTGGACACTTTTGCGTACAGTCGAGTCCACTTAAGTTGAACTCGGTTAAGTCGACATGACCAGCTTAGTCCTGGCAATTTTTCTCTATTGTGTGTGCTGTCTGGATAAGTAGAAATCCTGATAAGTGGAAGCATTTTCTTAGGTCCCTGCGACTTCTACTTATCCAGACTCAACTGTTTATCTGCAATTTTATGGTCGATGTTGGACAACACGAAACCGAGATTACCCTGCCCATCATGCTGGTTAAGCTGTTGTCACAGGCGTTCAAGTCGAAATCCTGGCCTATTACAAACAAAAATGTACTTACTTACAAAATAGCTTAGGAAATGTTTGTTGAGGCAGTGGGTCTATCCCCCCCCCCCCCCCCCATAATGGGGTCCCAGAACCCGTATAGGTTCACTAATATTTTGGGAAACTTAACTTGTACGCTCGCCGTGGATCAGAAAGTCGTGCATTTCCTCCCTGGCGCAGCCAGACTTTTTTCAGAAATGACCTTGGCCCCCAGATCGGCCCAGCCTGGAGTGGGTACAGGGTGCAGTAGCGGGAAGTAAAGGCAACTGGCGTGATGCTGACCACATCACTCATCCTGTGCCGATTGGTCTATAAAAATATAGGTCTAGCCCCATGTGCCTAAAGGCGTGAAAATGGTCCTTTACTTTTACTTACTTTAAGACAATGTGTGCATGACTTCACTTCTAACCATTCTAAAGAACATCTCACTATGGTATATAGTTGTAATAAAACACAGACACTCTGCATCAAGAATAAACAACAGCCATGTGTAACTGAAAACAATTGTATTAGTAAGGCAAAGTAAACATATAAGTTCAGCCGTAACTGGCCTAAGCACTGAGACGGACATACTGATGTACTCCACACACCCCAATCAGTCTTTATCAGTCACAACATAGGATGATCTCACAACAGTATGATGTAACTCAACGCTGTCATCAAGTAAATAACAATGTCAGGGCTAAATTTTGCTGATAGTGTGTGAACAGATTAGGCCTTCTGAAAATTCTAGGTAGCTGTAGCAGTGTGGTGGTCGTTTCGCTATCTCACCGCCTTTTCTTTACACTTTCCACTTTGCCAAGAAGAACACGACTTCCCACTCTCCCAAGAGAACTATGCACTTAAAGACTATAACCCTCTAAACTAAAGGTTCCCAACCCCAGATAGAATCATAAAAGTTTTCTTTGAGGTCAAGAGGCAGTGTCCTAAAGAAGCTGTGATGCCTCTGTTTCTACATACCTCTGTGACAGCAGATTTTTCTACATTTCTTCCACCATTAAACTGTAAGCATGTTAATGAGTTACAATTTCAGTCATCATAAGTTAATTTCAATTATAATGAAAAGCCTATTTCTATGTGAATTTGTTTACGCTTTTAAAAAACCTAATTTTAATATATGGGGGGTTGAAGGTTACTTCATTGCCATAACATGTCACGGCTCACAAAAGGTTGGGAATTGCTACCTTAAATGTACCAAGGAACAACTTCAAGACTCAGAAACGAATCCGTGAACAATCATTTTTTCACACATTTTATTGTTTCAAAACATTCAATTCCACACACAATGAACTCTGTAATGACATAAACAACCACACAGACACATTTAACACCCTGATGAAGAGAACACAATCCAAAGAAAAAAAATATAACTGGAGTGGAAGGAGAAAAAAAAGAGTAAGTGGAAAGAAAACTATACACATCTAGACAAATTCAAGTGTTAGTCTCAGCAAATGAGATGTGCAATGAAAGTAGAGGATGAGTACATAGTGTCATGACCCTGGTGAGCAAGGTGTTGTGGCTACAGCACAGCTGAATGTTTCTCTGTTGTGACTGCTACACTGTGTTTTGCCACAACCCTATCTCATACTTATTCTCACACTGCAGCAGTTATGCTGGAACTAAACAAAATCTACATCTTATACAGCAGCTCATTTATGACTGGGTACACTTATTTCCAAAGCTGACTGCAACTTTATTTGTTAAAAAGAAATAACTAGCCAATAGTTGAAACCAATCAACTGTAACCAAACATTTTCACCAATCAGATGTAACAATCATATTCAACCAACCAGCCCAATACATATTTTCCACCAATCAGATAAAACTAAAACAGCACTCCCCACCAATCAGATGTAACCAATCATATTCAACCAACCAGATGTGACCAGCCCAATATTTATTTTCCACCAATCAGATAAAACTAACAGCACTCCCCACCAATCAGATGTAACCAAACATAATTTACCAAGCAGATCTAAACAGGCCAAAATTTTCCATTAATCAGATACAATCAAAAACATTCCTCACCAGTCACATGTAAATGAATCAAGATGTTCCCAAGACAACAGAGATAACATGTCTTACAGCAAAGACTATCAAAAGATGATTTGTAGAAGCCAGGTCACAGATTTCACAACTACAACAAGACAACTTTCAGTATGCAAAAGTGGTAGCTAAAAGCGACTACGCTATTTGACAACAAGGACATAAATGTCCCACATAGAGCTGCTGGGTGTGTGGCACGCACAAGTGAAAGAAGTAAATGTCACACACAGAGCTGCTAGGTGTGTGGCACGCACAAGTGAAAGAAGCAAATGTCACACACAGAGCTGCTGGGTGTGTGGCACGCACAAGTGAAAGAAGCAAATGTCACACAGAGCTGCTGGGTGTGTGGCATGCACAAGTGAAAGAAGCAAATGTCACACACAGAGCTGCAGGGTGTGTGGCATGCACAAGTGAAAGAAGCAAATGTCACACACAGAGCTGCTGGGTGTGTGGCATGCACAAGTGAAAGAATTAAATGCCGGCAATAAACAAAACCTGTACGAACACAACAAAAACAATGGTTCAATTTTATCACAATATACAGATCTCCTTGAGAGACGGACTAGGAGGTATGTCTGGCAGGAGCAGGCCTATTTTTCTTCGCACCATTCATTTTCTTTACGTACCTGGGGACAGAGAAACAAAAATATTTACTTTGTCTCGTAGGTGAACTAGAAGCATATGTCAGTAATGCATAACTATTATCATCCACAGACAACTCTACAGGGAAAGTTTGCTATGATGTTTTCTGTTCTGTACAGTAACACAGACAGTAATACAAGGTGATGGAACTAAGTTCAATTTCTACTGCAAACATAGAATGTCTTTGGTTAGTCAAGGTTCCAGCATCTTTGCAGACAGGTCAGCCCATCAATACTCGACTTCTGTGCCAGTGGAAACTGCCCAAAATGTCTTTCACTATCTCATTTGAAAAACTTGTCAGTCCAGCAACATCCTGAAGTTTGCACATGCAAACTAAAAATGAAAAGGCAGCTAAGTTTCTTTCATTAAGATGGGGATATCAGATAGTTTTTAACAAAACTTAGTCAGTTTTGATATACACAAGCCACAGAAATAGGCCAGCTCATCTAACCATAGTCTACAGTGAAATCAAAACAATCCAAATAAGTTAACTTACTGTAAAACAAAACAGCATCTAATCGGTACTACAATAAAATAAGTACGAGAATTCAAATATCTAGGAAGCATATTTACAGAAGATGGCAGACTTGACAGAGAGATAGAAGCAAGAGTACAGAAGGCAAATGCTGTCAGCTACCAGTTAGCCACACTGCTTAGTGACGCAAATGTCTCCCTTCCAGCAAAACAGCAAATGTTCAATAGCATCTTCATCCCTACTTTATGTTATTAGTGCCAAACATGGACAATGAACAGGGCACTAGAACAGAAAATTACCTGTGAAATGCGCTGCCGCCATAAGGTCACTAACAATACAAGAAGGGAAAGGGTTACAAATACCAGCATTAGGGAGAAAAGCTGGAATGAGACAATGTCTTAATTATACTGACTAACAAAGAAAGAATGAAATGGTTCGGCCATCTAGTGAGAATGCAGCCTGACCAAAATTCAGGTCCCACAAGGTGAACACACCTTACAGTTAAACCAATAATTAGCTTCCGTAACATGGAGTACAATTTACAGTGACATCAAAAAACTTCCTAAACAAGCAGGACAATCTGTTGAAACTAAACAGTTTAGTACCGACACTAGTCAATGAAGGCAACAGTTGTAACTGCTGTCCATGCCTCTACTGCACCCATTCTTACTCGTTCATTCAAGGACAAATGCTTTGTGCTCCTTGACAACAAGGCTGCAGTATGTGCAACAAGGCAGCAGTACGTGCAACAAGGCTGCAACACGTGCAACAAGGCTGCAGTATGGGCACTTTCAGTTCCACATATCCGACTTGTAAAGACATCTGCTAGCCTGGTCAGTCTTCCCAGTTACCAGTTAGCTAGGTGGGACACTGCAGTGTCATTGATGTTTGGGTTCTGATTCTGTTCCATCGTTTAAACTCTCTCTCTGGTGCTAAGTTTCAGACACTTTCTTGCCTTCACTTCCACCACACAATCCTGTCTCAGCTCTATTTCCAGTGCCTTCTTGTGTGGCTCGTGCTTTTATTTATATCCTACCCCAAATAGGCAAAATTCGCAAGTCATGGGACATTCTAATATTTCAGCCGTGGTAGATAGGCTCCATACAATTGTGGGACCTAGGCTGCACTCTCTTGTGGGACGTAGGTGGGTTGGGGTTAGGGCCAGTTCTATATGTTTTTGGGTTGTTAAAAACATCAGAAAGCTGGGAAACCCAGTCTTGCCACCCTCTAAAATGTTGGACTGTCCTGTGACGTCATCTAGGGGTAGGATATTAATAAAGAACCCTGGGACCTAGAGACCAGTGAATCAGTTGAACAATGTCACGACCCTCGAGTATTACGGTTTGATTTCCATGCTGGATGGTTTTTCTTTAAAAACTGTTTATAGGTTTTTTAGATCAGGGTATGAGAGTCACACCATGCAAGAGGTATTGTTACACGACGACAGCAGTTCTGGAGATGGCACATCTGTTCATTTAAAATCAACATCATCCAGTCATGTCCAAAAGTGGACAATCACAGTGAGTCATCTCGTACAATTCCCACAGCCTCAGATCCACTCACAACAACATATGTTGTGTCCCACCCACAACATATGTTCTGTGTCCCACCCACAACATATATTCTGTGGCCCACCGACAACATATATTCTGTCCCACCCACAACATATGTTCTGTGTCCCACCCACAATATGTTCCGTGTCCCACTGACAAAAACATATTTGTTGTGCCCCATCGACAACAAAATTTGTCTTGTGTCCCATCCACAACAACATATGTTCTGCGGCCCACCCACAACCACATACGTTAAGGATATAGTTTCATCGTCCAGCTTCTGAGTTGAATGCATGACGTGGCACTGTGCGCTGCGGATTTAATTTAGAATGTTTTTCCGACTGTGACCAACGTGGTGGTGTGAACTGTAGATTCAGAAAATGGTGCCATGCCTGTTGTCGCAATTTTGGTGGTGCCCATACGTGATTAAAATTTATAGCGTGTGCAACTTCTGATCTGTTGGTGACTTCTGCTACCATCAATGATGAACTGCATTTCTAATGTCGGACTGTTTGCTTTACCACTTTGGATGGCTACCGTATGCTTTTAATGCGTGTGTATGCTAGATATGCTGAGACAGCCATCTGTCAAATCTTTCCACAAGGGAGAGTGATAAACATTCTGTGTGTTTTTCGTTGGCACAGGAGCGGAGCAACGATGGCGTAACCTGTTTGCTATGAAGCTGAAACTAAGACTACCAATAGAGCCGTACTCACCTGCTCCTCCTCAGCAGGTGTGAAATCATTCTTAATGTTGAAGGTTTTGCGGATCTCCTCTGGAGACTTGCCTTTGATCATATTGGCCACTGTCTTGCAGGTAACATCCAGCAACCCTTTAATATCTAGATAGTTGGCAGCCTGGACACAAAAATAACACAAAACATCCAACTACAATTGTAAACATTCATTGTTAACTTTAACACATCCATGTCAATTCTAGACTGCCACACTGTTAGTAGAAAAAGCTAACAAGATCTCATTTTAACACAAAATCTAGGAGGGGTCGTTCAGATGCCACAAGGGAAGAAATACAGCTTCCACTCTTTCTTTTCCCCAGTGACAACACTTGTCCTCCTCCTTTGTGTTCACGGGCTGTAAATTCTGGCGGAAAGTTCTAGTTATTCATTCACTTCTGGACTTTAGTTCCAGTACTTTAGTTTCGCATTCACATCTGTTTTACAGATCTGGCTTATCTTTATGCAAAGCCCGGCTGTCTAGCAAAGTTGGTTAAACCTGACTATCGCGGCGGCCGGGTGACGAACTCCTTGTGGTCCGGGTTCACTCCCGGGGGTAGGCAGAAAAGCCACATTTCTCCCAGATTAACGGTACCTATAATGGAATCAACGCAGAAGGGTTGCGATATCCATAGTACAGAGCCAAAATGTTTACAACTCATGGTTTCTGGATACTTTAAAAAAAAAAAAAAAAAAACTATACAAATTACAGGTTCCTCGCTACTCAGATTTAAAAGAAAGCAACCTTAACTGGTGGACTTTTAAGACATGCTTGTTGGGGGCAGCGGCTCTATTTTTGTCTCCCTCAAAATGGACCGCAGAACACACACATGGAGAAAGCTAACAGGATCTCTTTAACCCATGAGTGGGGCATTGGGGTGACATGACAGAAGAAACAGAGCCTCCACGTTTTCTTTCCCCCGGTGAAATATCTTTCCTTCTTTCTTAAGATCACATCTCAAATGTCACTGTCAGGTAAGTGGTAATGATTAACTTCCATTTGTGGAGTCTTTCTGTAGTTCTATACAGCTTAAGGATGGATTAGCATTTGAGGTGAAGAAAGGTGAACAGTCCATGCTGGCCAAGTGTGTAGAAGGTAAAGATCCCTTTTCACGCCTTGTGCGTAATGTGGTCAGCATTACGCCGGCTGTCTTTACTTCCCCAGGACAGCCCATCCTGGTACCCATTTTAGGCTAGGTCGACCTGCGACACCCCATACCAAATCCACGAAGTGTGTAGTAGTTCTCGTAAAAATGAATAAATAGGGAACTGACATCATTGCACTTGGGGCATTCTCACATATGAACCGTTTCCCTTTGTCTGCAGCCTACAAAGAGTGTTCATAGACATGAAGCCAGTTTCACACCAGACTAAGTTTATCTTTCTTTCCCCTTAGTGGCAACAACTGTCCAGATCCTCTGCTGAATCAATTTCTCGAGGTACGGATTCTCTGTTCTGCTGCACTGTGATGGCTTTCCAATTTACACCAACAGACAAGTTCTTGTGATAAAAATGACTATTTTTAGGAGTTTTCTTTCAGTTTCATACAACTGTTTGTATGGGCTAGTATTCCCTTCTTAATGGGCTGTACAAGGGACATTCTTGCAGGACATGTTCTGCAGTTTGCACATATACTTCTTCTTAGCCGTAAACCCCTGGGGAAAATTATGTTTGTCCACCTTTGAACCTGTGTCTTGTTCCACAACTTGAGTTTCTGACTTATTCGTACGCAGAATGTTTAGTTCTTCGCCTCTAAGGCAGATGCACTCCAAGTTAACTCACATGGGGAAACATACAGCAAATCAAAGATGGCCGTCTTCTACTTCTGTGTTTATCCGAATCTGTTTCCATTTACAATATGGCTGCAATATTTGTGCCTTTTGGCCGACGCACCAGACTTTTTTGCACAGGTTAGCCTTTACCACTGGACATTTAATATGCCAAAAGTTTTCCAGCAAATTCTGGGACCCCATTTAGCGGGTGGGATCAAATCTATATCAACTGCCCCCCTTGTCAAACAAAGGCAACTAACTGAGATTTGCTCATACTGGATGTGTTGGGTCAAAAAGCACCTAGCTGTACCAGCTGCTCTTCTCAGGGTCAATACAGAAGATAGGCTACAAGCGATTCTGTTTCTGCCTGAGAAACGATACTGCCGGTGCAGATCAAACAAGCATAACAAATGACAACATTAAGAAGCACTCAAATTGGTCCGGGAGCCTCTATCGAACTAATACGACAATACATACCAAAATAAGCTCGAACAATGTGCCCTGATCTACTTTAAGAAACTCGGCATCCCAGGAGCAGATGTCATCGGTTCTCTTCTCTTTGTTCTCATCGTCTTCTGGAGGTGGTGGATCATCTCTGTGAAATGTGCACCATTGGATAACCTTCTTCAGAATGGCAGCGTTGACGTTTGATAGGGGTACTGGTTCATCTTCATCTTCCTCCATGCCCAGATCTGACAAAGTGTGTCAGAAACATATCAAACACCTGAGACATCACAAATATCTCAGACATCACATATCATGATATGTCTCAAATCCCACCAACTCTGACATCACACAACATGACATATGTCAACCAGACAAGCTCTGACATCACACATGATGACAAACTACAAGATAATCAGAGATATTCATCACATAGACACTAAACACCTACCATAGACTACAGAGCACCAACGTCTTGGATATAATCATTACTTGTGTTCTAAATTAACCAAATACTAGAGACTGTGCATCTACTCAGTCACCGCAGGGACTCTTCTCTGATGTGATGCAGTCAGGCCCATCCCTTGTTCACAAAACCCTGTTTATCATTGTGTGCAAATAATGCGGCCACTATCTTTACTCTTAGTAACTGAGTCATCTAAATACGCCCACTAATTCAAACCTGGCTATCCACACCTGAAACCATCACGAGTACTTCAAGTTAACAACAGCCCCTTAAGTGCTGTAAACCCCACACCTGAAACCCAACTTAATTTCTTCTTCTTCTTTGTGTTCAATGGTCCGAGGTCTCTGTGGCCAAGTGGTTGAGCCATTTGCCTTGCGTTTTTAAGACTGCAGGTTCATTTCATTGCTGCCATATTCAGCTTGCAAAGTGTAATTTTTATGGAGACCTTGAGGATCATCACTGGAGCTACAGTGTTCGTGCTTTGTGCATCACTCTCTGCCAGTGGCTAGTATTATATGGAGAGAGAATGAGCTATTTGGGAGAAAACCCAGCGCTACGAAGTCAATCTTTTCAATTTTAACCTTTAGCTCTAACTGGCTGTAAGCTCTGACAGAAAGTTCATGTTTGTTCCCCAACTTCTGCATGTCGTCTTGTCACAAAACTTGAGTTTTGTCTGCACATTCATTTGACAAATCTGTTTTATATGCAGACTGTTGGTTCCTTGACTCTAAGGTAAATGCACTCAGACGTTAAAGGGAAAATCCACAATTAGTAGCTTTTTATGAGATGCTACTGTTCCTACCCCCCCCTCCCCCCACGGAGTGCCAGAACCTACTTGGGGAATGTTAAACTGAGTGGTCTCAAGGTACAGCATCCGCCTCGAGCGCTAGAGGTATCGGGTTCAAGCCCATGTGGACTTATAGTAATTTACCCTGGTCTCAGGCTAGTATGATTAGATGAACACGTAAAAAATACCTTGGCAGTTGGAAATTGAAAAAGTGTAGCCTAACAACACTGTCCGCTCAAAATTTTGAGTCAGAAATCTTCCAAAGTATTTCAGGATCCTCGCCGGTGCAATGGAGTTCGTCCACTGCAATGAGATTTTTCAGACTCAGGCTTGACTTAGAAGTAGAATGCAGTAATTATGGGTTACACGCATGTGCTATGATGCTGATTTGTTGAATAAATAAACAAACAGAGGATACAATGTCCAATAATGATTACCTTCCAACATAGTTTTGATTGTGACTGACTGCTTGGCAATTTCCACATCCACCTCAAATATTTCTCCGTCAGAACTCTGCAACTTTATAGAAGGCATCTGGAAAAAAAAAATTACTGGCGTCAAGTTTTGAAGTAATGGCAACTGCAAAGAAAAACAACCAGAATGAGCTGCTTCTCTGTTGCTGCATGTCACAAGTTTACCCCAGCTGCATGTCACAGGTTTCTCCCAGCTGCATGTCACAGGCTTACCCCTGCTGCATGTCACAGGTTTATCCCAGCTGCATGTCACAGGCTTACCCCTGCTTCATGTCACAGGTTTATCCCAGCTGCATGTCACAAGTTTACCCCAGCTGCATGTCACAGGTTTATCCCAGCTGCATGTCACAAGTTTACCCCAGCTGCATGTCACAAGTTTACCCCAGCTGCATGTCACAAGTTTACCCCAGCTGCATGTCACACGTTTATCCAGGCTGCATGTCACAGGTTTACCCCAGCTGCATGTCACAGGTTTATCCCAGCTGCATGTCACAGGTTTATCCCAGCTGCATGTCACAAGTTTACCCCAGCTGCATGTCACAAGTTTACCCCAGCTGCATGTCACAAGTTTACCCCAGCTGCATGTCACAAGTTTATCCAGGCTGCATGTCACAAGTTTATCCCAGCTGCATGTCACAGGTTTATCCCAGCTGCATGTCACAGGTTTATCCCAGCTGCATGTCACAAGTTTATCCAGGCTGCATGTCACAGGTTTAAACCAGCTGCATGTCACAGGTTTATCCAGGCTGCATGTCACAGGTTTAAACCAGCTGCATGTCACAAGTTTATCCAGGCTGCATGTCACAAGTTTATCCCAGCTGCATGTCACAGGTTTATCCCAGCTGCATGTCACAAGTTTATCCAGGCTGCATGTCACAGGTTTATCCCAGCTGCATGTCACAGGTTTATCCCAGCTGCATGTCACAGGTTTACCCCTGCTGCATGTCACAGGTTTATCCCAGCTGCATGTCACAGGTTTATCCCAGCTGCATGTCACAAGTTTACCCCATCTGCATGTCACAGGTTTATCCCAGCTGCACATCACAAGTTTACTCCAGCTGCATGTCACAGGTTTATCCCAGCTGCATATCACAAGTTTATCCCAGCTGCATGTCACAAGTTTACCCCTGCTGCACATCACAAGTTTACTCCAGCTGCATGTCACAGGTTTACTCCAGCTGCACATCACAGGTTTACCCCTGCTGCACATCACAGGTTTACCCCAGCTGCACATCACAGGTTTACCCCTGCTGCACATCACAGGTTTACCCCAGCTGCATGTCACAGGTTTACCCCTGCTGCACGTCACAACGGAGGTGCAGGAGTGTACATTGAGTATCCTAATAATACCAGGGATACAGCCAATATACCAACATCACAAGTTTACTCCAGCTGCATGTCACAAGCACTGAAGCCATGGTAACCACAGTGAAAAGAATGTAAAGGACAGACATAAGTCAGGAAGACATCTTGACTGTCACCCAATCATAAAGAGAACTCAATACGAACGTGACAAGCTAGGCATATTCTTTCTATAGGTCATGAAATGGAAGAGAGATGTGATTAAACAAGGAAAAGAGATGTCATGAGACAGGGAAGAGATTCATGAAATACTGAAGTGAGAGATGTGATTAAACAAGGAAAAGAGAGATATCATGAGACGGGGAAGAGATTCATGAAATACTGAAGTGAGATATGTGATTAAACAAGGAAAAGAGAGATGTCATGAGGCAGGGAAGAGATTCATGAAATATTGAAGTGAGAGATGTGATTAAACAAGAAAAAGAGATGTCACGAGACAGGGAAGAGATTCATGAAATATTGAAGTGAGAGATGTGATTAAACAAGGAAAAAAGAGAGAGAGATGTCATGAGGCATGACAAAAATGTCAGATGTGGAAGACATGCCTTGGGCGGGGAGGGGACAGAGAGAGAAAGAAAATGCAATGAGACACGACAAAAATGCCAGATGTAGAAGATATGCCTTTGGCGGGGAGGGGAGAGAGAGAAAGAAAATGCAATGAGATGACAAAAATGTCAGATGTGGAATACGTGCCTTGAAATTGGGGAAAGGGGGGGGGGGAGAATGTCATGAGACAAAAGAGAAATAAAAGTCAGACAGGGAAGCAAGATGTCAAGAGGCATGGAAGAGAGAGATCGTAAAATATGGAGGAGAAAGAGGTCATGAGAATGGAAGAGAGAAAGGTCAAAGATGTCTGAAGACAAGGAAGAAAGATGTGAGACAGTGAGATGTCATGAGACAGGGAAGAGGAACGAACAAAAAGGAACTAACAGTCAGAATACAAGAAACCAGATCTCTAAAACAGATGTGTACTGTATGCAAAAGTCAAGTCCTGGAACAAGCAACACTGCAGAAGTGGATGAACAACCAGGACTTTCTGTGGAGTTTACTACAACCAGCAAAGATTAGCAAAAACACTCCTCTCTCTTATAACCTAAAAGAAAATATGGTTATGAGCATTAAAACGTGATCAAACCCAAATTTAAAAAAAAAAAGTACACATACCCTAAATATTCTCTTGTGAGAATGCTGTATGGCTGCTGCCATTAAAAATAACTTCACATTTTTGAAAAGTTGAGACTGTTAATGTATCTATCTGACTTATACTGAATACAGTACACAGTGCTGACATGAGAATCATCCATGTCTGGGTTGACTGGAGATATTTAATAAACTGGTGTTTTCTTCCCTGGTAAAGATTTTGTTTTGTAATGAATCAGACGTAGACTTGGAATGAATCGTGGTCTGCTTGGAAAAGAACCTTGGTTTACACCGACTTTAACGTCTAGGGTTGACAACACAAACGCCGCTCAGCTTCTTGGTACATTCTGTCAGTTTATTCTGGTCCATTTATTTCACATGTTCAAACATTATTCACACTTTATCACTCGCGACATATTCGAACATTAAACATTTGCGCAACATAAAGACGACATCTTCAAATACTACAACCGTCTTCTCTGACTTCTCATGATCGACTGACCACGAGGCAAGCTCGGGCTTTCCCTCGCTTCCTCGACTAGGCACAAGTATCTCGTGCTGTCCCTTGTTGCACGGACTTTCTGCTTGCCACTATGTAATCGTGAAGACCATGCACAGCACCTCATCACATACTTCCCCCCTTCTTAACAAAATGATACTTTATGGAACATCAAGTATCATTTTCCCTTTTACTAATAGATGACTCAATGGAACATACTCTAACCTCAATTACCCTCAATTATTGCCCTTGGTTTCAAATTTTTTACTGTATACTTTTTTGAAGTACCGATCTGGTGATGGGTATCTCATCTTTACACCTATTGCATCTGTAGTATATCTTCGTCACTATATCTATTCTATGATGTTCGAGTTAAATAATGATCATTGTGATGATGGTGATGTTAATGGTCAGCTTTGAGATATTTACTAGAGGGATAATAAATCAATTTAAATGTATTACTGCTAGGAATTATGGTTCCTTGATTATCCTTAATTACTACCATTTAAAACTGCCTTCAGTATTTACTGCATGCTTTCCTATTACTGAGCTGGTGAAGAGTTTAAACCATCTTTGCAACTATTGCATCTGTTGTATTGTCTAGTCACTATATCTAATCTATCATTGTTTTCATGTTGGATTCCTTGGAGTTGGGTAATTACTCTGTGAAAGGTGAGACTTTGGTCTATGAAAAAATATCTGGCTCTACTGGCAAATCCGGACGAAGAATAAACAGCCTTGGACGACTTAGTCAGAGTTATCTCCCGTCGCCGCACTCCAAACAGTGATCGGAAAAGCCACAACGAAACAAAGAAGACAGTCACGTCGACTTCAGGGCTGCCAATGCTTGGTTGTTTCCCCCAGATCTGGGTGTTTTTTTCAACGCTGCAGGACAATTCTGGGTGGGTTTTTTTTTTTTGGGTGTGTTTTGTTTGTTTGTGTTTGCCGATTTGTATGCTTTAATGATCAATAAATTTGCGTGGTTAGGGGGGTAGGGGTTAGGGTTAGGGAGTAGGATTAGGATTAGGGTTAGCGGTAGGGTTAGGATTAGCGTTAGATTTGACAATTTTGACGCCGGAGTTCCCTATAATCGCGCACAGTCCCATACACACACACAAACAATCGAGGGCCTCTGGATGCTGGTCAAACGCACAATTCGCCAACGATTGGGGGAACCAGCCGCACGCTATTGGCGTCATATTTGGCAGAGTTTCAGTGGCGCCACTCCCACAAACATCATATTGTCGGCCAGTATTTCGAAATCCTACGTCAAAATTTTCACATCTAACCCTAACCCTACCCCTAACCCTACCCCTACCCCTAACCCTACCCCTAACTCTAATCCAACAACCGCATGATGATGACTACACAACCATTCACAGTGCCTCACGCAACCGTACGCAACTGTGCACGCAACCATATGATGATGCCACGATGTCTCACGCAACCGTACGCAGCCCTACACGCAACCGCAGGATGATAGGTAAGTGTGTCGTTTGTTTCGTTTGTTTTCCGATTACTGTTCGGAGTGCGGCGACGGGAGATAACTCTGACTAAGTCATCCAAGTCTTTTTATTCTTCGTCCGGATTTGCCAGTAGAGCCAAATATCTCAACATGCATTTTTTTCTGTGGTAGATTCCTTGGGGTTGGGTAATTACCCTGTAAAAGGACAGCACCTCATCACAGTTTGAACGACTACCCTGACTGAATACTGTATAAAAATATTTGGATTTCAGAAAGAAAGAAAACTAGGTAAAGTAATCATTTCCTTGCATTGGTTTTTTTTTTTTTTTTTAAGCTTTCTTAATTACATTTTCAATAACAACGGCCTTTTCCCCTCACAGCTTCTTAAGAGGTTATGTTCAAATATACTGAATTTTAATTAATATAAAATACAAGTAATACGCTTAATGGGAAAACAAGAAAACAAACGTAAATACTGTGTCGGTGACTCACTGAGCCCTGGATATTTTGTTAAGCGTTTAAGGGTTCACATACATACCAAAAAGAAACCAGGTTCACAGGTCAGACAAGCAGGAGACGCACAAGTATTTTTCAA